CAAATTTTTAAAGAGCTCAGAATTCTTGCAATAAGATTTTTCTTCACAAGCCCTTTCCAAAAAGTGAGAGCAGACCTTTAACCTCAAACTTAACTATATCATGATTTAATAAGGAGCTATTTAGCTTCCAGTAGGATGCCACCAAGGTTAGTATCAGGGGTAAATATTTTGACATCAATGTAAATGGCCCTATGGTCTGTGAGGGGAGTAGTACAAATATGTGTAGTAACACACTCACTATCAATACATTTCGATATAAGCCAAAAATCTATTCTGGACTGTCTGGAACCTGTTTTGTTACTCCAAGTGAATGATCTGTCGGCCGGAAACCTCTCTCCATATATCAGTAAGATCAAACTTTTCCATAAAAAGTATTAAACTCAAACTCTGATTGGTTGGCCTACCTGGGGGCCATCTATCAGATGAATTATCTATAGTAATGTTAAAGTCCCCTCCTATCAATAACAATTAATTGGGAAATTTAAATAACCAATGAAGTATGCGTTTCTCTACAGATTCAAGCAACTCATCATTCTCATGTTTTGTGTTGTACCCGTAGAAGTTTACAGTAATGAGCGTAATGTTATTGTAACTGATCACAAGACAAATAAAGTTACCAAAGGTATTTTTCATTGTAATGACCACAGCGGAGCGTTCAGAGCCATGGGAAAGCCAAATATCGTTGCCCCACTGTGACTTCCAGAAGTTGGCATCAGCAGAAATTGAGTGCAACTTCACATTGTTTCCTAACCCCCTAGCATTAAGAGAAACTATAGACAAAGGCAAAACAACAAACATAATATAAAACTATTAACTGTAGGATGAGTCAAAAACATAGGAGCAGTGAACATAAGCTATAAGGAACCGAGATCTGCACCATTTAAGTAAACTTGAGCTAGTTGTTATCCGGCTTTTGAAATTCAACTCAACAGAAAATTATGTTAAAGACCAAACCAAGGGTTCTCTGTAGTAAGAGAGAATAAAAACCCTCTTTAGTGTAATCAGGGACTATTCTTAAAAAAATATATAAACTCAGCACAAAAAGAAACGTCCTCTCACTGTCAACTGCGTTTATTTTCAGCAAACTTAACGTGTAAATATTTGTATGAACATAACAAGATTCAACAACTGAGACATAAACTGAACAAGTTCCACAGTCATGTGACTAACAGAAATGGAATAATGTGTCCCTGAACAAAGGGAGGGTGAAAAAGTAACAGTCAGTATCTGGTGTGGCCACCAGCTACATTAAGTACTGCAGCGCATCTCCTCCTCATGGACTGCACCATATTTGCCTGTTCTTGCTGTGAGATGTTACCCCACTCTTCCACCAAGGCACCTGCAAGTTCCCGGACATTTCTGGGGGTAATGGCCCTAGCCCTCACCCTCCGATCCATCAGGTCCCAGATGTGCTCAATGGGATTGAGATCCGGGCTCTTCGCTGGCCATGGCAGAACCCTGACATTCCTGTCTTGCAGGAAATCACGCACAGAACGAGCAGTATGGCTGCGTGGCATTGTCATGCAAGGAGACTGGTCTCATGATCAGGAGGTGAGCACCTGCACAGCATTGAATAGCCCGTACCTCATTAGGAGGAGATGTCTATTCCCTGTAACGCACCAGTGTGTTGATATTGCCATGCCAATGACAACAACCCAAGTCCTGTGTATTTTGATGCTTGAGTGTACCACCGCACCCAGAAAATGACGAACCTCCAACTCCAAATCGTATCATACCACATCCAGAGACTTAGCACGCGGTGAGATGCTCATTCCTCATCGAGACGATAAAACCACGAATCCGACCAATCCCACGCGCCTGGTGAACAAAACCTGTGTACCCATCATGGTGAGAAGAAGCACTAAATTTTGAAACGGTGGGTTTGTGCCCATAGGCAACGTTGTTGCCGGTGATGTCTGGTGAGGTCCTGCCTTACAACATGCCTACAAGCCCTCAGTCCAGCCTCTCTCAGCCTATTGCGGACAGTCTGAGCACTGATGGAGGGATTGTGCATTCCTGGTGTAACTCGGGCAGTTGTTTGTTGCCATCCTGTACCTGTCTCGCAGGTGTGATGTTCGGATGTACCGATCCTGTGCAGGTGTTGTTACACGTGGTCTGCCACTGCGAGGACGATCAGCTGTCCGACATGTCTCCCTGTAGTGCTGTCTTAGGCGTCTCACAGTACGGCAATTTATTGCCCTGGCCACATCTGCAGTCCTCATGCCTCCTTGAACAGCTAATCATGGCTACCCGGACTATTTGCACTGCCCCCCCCACCCCCACCCCATATTTTTACGCTGCTGCTACTCTGTTAATTATTTATGCATAGTCACTCTAACTCTACCCACATGTACATATTACCTCAACTACCCCAACTAGCCGGTGCCCCCGCACATTGACTCTGCACCGGTACCCCCCTGTATATATAGCCTCCCTACTGTTATTTTATTTTATTTTTTTCTCAACACTTTTTTGTTGTTGTTTTATTTTACTTTTTTATTAAAAAATAAATGCATTGTTGGTTAAGGGCTGTAAGTAAGCATTTCACGGTAATGTCTACACCTGTTGTATTCGGCGCATGTGGCCAATAAAATCAGATTTGAGTTGATTTGCAGCATGCCTAAGGCACGTTCACGCAGATGAGCAGGGACCCTGGGCATCTTTCTTTTTGTGTTTTTCAGAGTCAGTAGAAAGGCCTCTTTAGTGTCCTAAGTTTTCATAACTGTGACCTTAATTGCCTACCGTCTGTAAGCTGTTAGTGTCTTAACGATCAATCCATAGGTGCATGTTCATTAATTCTTTATGGTTCATTGAACAAGCATGGGAAACAGTGTTTAAACCCTTTACAATGAAGATCGGTGAAGTTATTTGGATTTTTACAAATTATCTTTGAAAGACAGGGTCCTGAAAAATAGTTTATGTATACAAAATAATTTTAAGAAAATAAAGGGGTACCTACTATTTTAAGTGCATATGAAAAGTGATCATAAAAAATTAAGAGTACAAAAAATATATATATATATACATTCCTAAGACCTTTCTCACTTGGAAATAAGTATTAATAACTAAATAGAACAACAACAGTGTAAAGTAATTCAGAGCAGACCTGAATGCCCCTTTTTAACAGTATCTTAGTACTGGATGCATAAAAAAGTAATACATACAACTTTCAGTCTTCTTTGTGAGTTTGTAAACAAAATTGGCCTTCTTCTGGTCTGGTCATACAAGAAAAAACGAATAAATGATTGAGTAGTCCAAAAAGGTAACCCAAGGCTTGTTAGGTAGTCAGTACAAGGAAAATGGAGAATACCATGGCTGAAACCGTCAATCTGTTCCTGGTGAGGAGTGAGGTTCTCGGGAGGAATATGGATTTCCAAACCGTTGATGAAACGTCGTCCTCTGACGAAGTAGGCAGCCTTTCCCTCATTTTGTGCTTTCTTGATCGTTGGCCACAACTTGTTCCTCCTTTCTATGTCCTCAGGGCTGAGATGCTCGGCAAAACGCAGACCAGGGCTCTGAAGGAACCCGTTCTTCCTAGCAGCTTTCCAGACTGCATCCCTGTAGAATCTGTCAGTGAAGAGATTTATGATACCCCTTGGTCTTGAATCGTTTTGCTGTTTCTTCTTGCGGAGGCGATGCACAACGTCGATGGTATCACCAACTTTCTTCTTCTCTGCAGGCATAACTTCTTGGCAGATGCGGATCGCCTCGGCACCACACATCCTCACTTTCCACCTGGGGCACGCCGTAGTCTCAGGTTCCATCTTCTTGTGTATTGCTCCAGATCAGTGAGACGTCTAAGGTAGACATTGTTCAAATGCTCTGTACAACCCTGACTTTGGCCACCTCATTCTCCTTTACCCTTGTGGGGCATTCAGAAGACGTGGCTTCATGATTCCCACCGCAATTACAACATGTCACATTGTCTTCACTTTTATAACACATAATATGATCTTTTCCACATCTTGTACATTTCAGCTTCTCCCTTCTGCAAACACTTTCTACATGACCAAAAGCTTTACAATGTTCACACTGCATTGGTCTTGGGATAAATGCTCTAACTCTGTAGTTAATATACCCTAACCGCACTTCATTAGGGAGAAACTCCATTTCAAAAAACAAAAGAACAGGTAAAGTCTTCACTTTTTCCCCATTCACCACTCGATACATCCGACGTGCTTCAATCACTCCAGGAATATTTTTCATCTCTTCCAAATAAACTTCCCACGAAACGCCAGACATAACCGCCTTGAGGGGTGCCCTGTTCCGAAGAGACACACACAACACTTCAAATTTATCAAATCGATTAAGACACAACGCACGTTCCTTCTGATCCGCAGAATCACAGCACTCTCTCCACCAGTGTGGATAACTCAAATGGTTTCTTCAAGATTGGTACTCTGCTCAGCTGCTCCTTATTAACAAACCGTACTCCTCCTAGATACGAAGGGTCATTCTCATCACTGTACCCTACTTTGCTCCGTTTCCCATTCTTTTGAACAACACTCAAATTCTCCTTGATTCTACAGCCATTGTGTTCAGATTCCACTTCATCATCCGCTTCCACCATCTTCCCTCTCTCACACCTCCGTTCCACTTATCATTCCAGTCACAGGAAAGTTCTTATATCTTGAACAAATAAAAACAATAATAGGAATGACTGGAAACAAGTTTTCTTTCCCCACAATCTTTCTGAAGTTAGGCGCGCAGCTCAGTAAAAACCGTCTGTTCAAGCCGCCATCTTGGCCTCCTTGTCACGTACACTTCCGCCACACTTTTATAAGTTCCGCAACCACACATAAGTCAGTATTATGCACCACAGGCTTGCGCAAGAGCGCAATAACTTAAATTGGTATCTGAACATTCAATGTAGACACATTTTAGTATTTCTTATGAGCCATACAACGGACACCTTAATATGGGTGAGTGATATAACACAGACAATAACTTTGACAATACACAATCGAATGATTTTCGCTGAGGAATTTGGTCCAACCGGGATGATGATGGACTCCGCTGAGATGTTATTCTCAGTACCACAGGGGCTACCTTCTGCTTGGGACACCGTAACTGCAGCTCTGGTGAGTAGATGGACCTAACTTGCCTACGCACGGTACCTTGTGTTGTTGACATAGGCTGCCTACCTTTTATGTGAGAATGAAATTAGATAAATTGCACTACTGTGGTTGATTGCTGGACATGTAGCTAGCTAACACATTCACATGCAATTAGGAATTACATTGCTAGCTAAGACCAATGTTGATCTATCAATGTACCTACAAACCATAGTCCGTGTCTGTTTATAAGAACATGACCAATTTCCTCTGTCTGGAGGGATGGCTCCTGGAGACCCTGCAGGTGCGTCTGACCACTGCCGAGGTCCCTGAGTTTTGGGCTGGACCGAAGCAGCCAGAGAATGAGCTTGGGGAGAAGGATAGGGCCAGGATCCTACTCATGGCCTTCCGTACCCTTTTGGACAGACTGGAACCTTTCCTAGGTGGGGTTCAAACGTTCAGGTTACAGTTGACTGCACCCTTAATGCTGGAATGTTGACTGAACAGAATGCTGTCAAATGCGTTACAAAAATTACCCTCTGTCCTTTCCACAGGAGGGTTGGAGAGGCTGGGTACCTGGCAGGATGAGGGCCGGGGTGGTCTGTGTGGCCCTGGGGCCAGGGGTCTCCAGGAGAGGGCCTTCTCCGTCATCAGGGCCATCCTACTGTTCTCCCCCTCGGCTGTGCTCCAGATGAGAATACTGGAGTTCTACAGCAGGACCTTTTCTGTGCACATGAGCCAGGAGGGGGAGGCAGGGGAGTCTGAGGAAGGGGGCGGGGTATCTGAGGGGGGCGTCTGTCAGGGCTGCACTGTCCCCACCCAGCAGTGCTGGTGTCAGGAGGCCCTGGAGCAGCTACAAGAGCTCAGCCACATACTGTGAGTGAATGGAGGGGTGGCCATGTCACTGTATGCTCTATAAGTTGTGTTAGAACAACCATTGTCTACATCTGTGCCTGCTGTGTTTGTAATGTCTCTGCAGCTGTCTCTACCCACTTTTGCCACCCTCCAGGTCCAGATTGCAGCTATTGGAGTGGGTTAGTTCAGAGGCAGTGACGTCCATCTTACACAAACTGATTGAGCAGCGGCTAGAGCAGCACTGCAGGGGGGAGTACGAGAGCTCTTTCCTCTTCAACTTTCAGGAGGTACAGTATACTAGAGAGCCTGTCTATGGGAGGACCACCTCGCATAATAAAGTGACATGACCTATCAACAAGTTCTACTTTTCTAGCTTGCATTATTTAACAGAATAGGTTGCTGACCAAATATGTTTTGTCTATAAAACAATTTACTACACCAAGTCCAAATCTCAGAAATGTGATCATTTATCTGTTTTACTCTTAATTACAAACATTCTCTCAATTCCCTCTTTCGTTCTCTCTCTCTCCAGTGGCTAGAGCTGGTGTTTGCCAGTGAAGTGGGTGGACTGGGTACGGTGCCCAATGGCACAGGCAGCAGGGCTGGGGAGGTGGGCCAGCCAGCCAACGCTGTGCACCACATGCACCAGTTCTTCTGCAGGATCTACGTCAACATGAGGATCGAGGAGCTCTTCAGCATCATCAGAGGTGAGGAGTTAGGGAACAGAGAGAGGAGATAGGGAGATGGTGAATGATACAGAGAGTATTAAGAGAAAGCATCACCTGTGAGTGTCGACGGCATAGGGAAGAGATTTGATAAGGGGGAAAGAATGAGATACAGAGAGGGTAGAAAGGGTTTTGACATTTCTCCCACCCTCACATTCAAAGCCTGCCATTGAGGACCTCAAGTTCTGTCTAGAGAGAACCAATCAGAGGCAGCAGCTCCTCACCTCCCTTAAGACAGCCTTTGAGACGTGTCTGCTTCACCCAGGTCAGTGAACCAATGATGGGTTAGGAACAGTGACTGGTGTTTGGCTCTTTATGTTTGTAACACATTTGATGTGAAGACTAACTGTTGTTTGCAAATACAGTGTTGCAGAAGAAGCTGGAGTGATAAGACTTAATGAATCCCTTCTCAACAACATTCCGCTCTCCTTCTAGGAGTCCATACCTTTGACATCATCACTGTATATATCTCGGCCATAAAGGCCCTACGAACTGGACCCATCTATGGTCATCCTGCAGGTTGTCTGCCAACCAATCCGCAAGTACCTCAGGTGGGTGCATGTGTATTATCGTAATCTGTATTTAGTTATCTATTATTTTATTCCCTCATGAGTATTTATGAACAAAGCAAACATTTAGTGGGAGGCAAAATGTTAGAGATTGCTCTTTCCTTGACTGATTTTACTCCCATAGCATACTGTGTTGATGTTGACGTGACATTGATGTGACATCTGTGGTTCGTTGCTAGGACGCGGGAGGACACGGTACGTCAGATAGAGGCCAGCCTTACCTGGGACGCGGAGGGCTGCAGTGACCTGGCCAATGAGCTGTCCCGTGCCGACCCTGTGACCCTGCAGACCCAGGACAGTGAGGACGAGGGCAGCGACCCAGAGGAATGGACCCCAGACTCTAAGGATGCTGTCACAGGTCAGCACCCTCAGTGGACCCACAAAGGTTGTCATCACACTAGACTAGTCAGTTGCTTTTTCCTGTTTCTGCTGTATTGAACTAGAAATTCTTAAAAACAATACCTCTCCATCAGTTATTTTACTAAATACACTCCTCTTTCTTTCTCACCCTTCAGACAAAATGGGCTCGAAGCGGCATTCGTCTGACATCATCAGTCTTCTGGTCAGCATATACAGCAGTAAAGAGATCTTCATAGATGAGTACAGAACTGTGCTGGCAGACAGACTTCTCCACCAGTTCAACTACAATACAGCCAGGTACACAACACGTATGTACAGTAGCTAGTCCCAGCACTCCAAAGGCCTATATCTCAATGCTATACAGTACATTACTCAACTTTTTGCAGTCACTCTTAATATTATGTGCATGTCGGTATACTGGTGTTGGTATTTCTGTGTGGACATTTTGGGTAAATTAAATCAATAATTTTTTAAATAGTAAGTAACTTTTCTCATGTGCCTCCAGGGAGATCCATAACGTGGAGTTACTCAAGCTGCGATTTGGAGAGTCCTATATGCACTACTGTGAGGTGATGCTGAAGGTAAAGCAGGGCGTGACTTTGAAATCTTGAGTTACCATTTATGTTAAATTGAGCTATGACAACATGACTCTTAACGTGACTTCCTAGTATCTTTGAAAATACATAGTCCTTTCACCTACCAGTGTCTTTCATAGAATAAGGCATGGGGACAGAAGTTATCGAACAAAGACAAGGAACAAAGACCATTTAAACACTTTAGGACAGAGCCTTACTCTCCTCCCTCTCTCTCCCCAGGACCTGGCTGACTCACGGAGGATCAACACCAACATCCGTGAGGAGGAGTCCAGGCTGGGTGAGGATGAGCAGCCCCCCATGGCCCTGACTGCCATGATCCTGTCCTCTGAGTTCTGGCCCACGCTGAAGGAGGAGAAGATGGAGCTCCCGCTCCTGGCCTCCCAGGCCATGGAGGCCTACACACACCACTATTAGAAACTCAAGGTACCTGATGATGAAGATGTAGCCTAGGTGCCAGTCTGTTCCTGCTTTATTCAAGTCCTTATAAACAGAGAATAGGGAAATAGCATTTTGAAATCAAATTCCATAATTCAAATGGTCTCTGTCCCAGGCGATGAGGACCCTGAGCTGGAAGCCTCATCTGGGATCAGTGACACTGGATGTGGAGCTGGAGGACAGGACTCTGACAAACCTGACTCTGTCCCCTGTCCACGCTGCCATTATCCTGCACTTCCAGGACAAAAGTCAGTACTCTGGCCGTCACAGGCTGCCTTTTGTACAACTTATCATTGCATACAGACAGACATTGTATGAGTAACTACGATTAACCTTTAAGCCATCTCTCTCTCTCTCTCTCTCTCTCTCTCTCTCTCTCTCTCTCTCTCTCTCCTGAAGGCTCATGGACTCTGGAGGAGCTGAGTGGGGTCCTGGGGGTGCCCCAGGAGATGGTGAGAAGGAAGCTGGCTCTGTGGCAGCAGCAGGGGGTCCTGAAGGAGGAGGCTGGGGGGCACTACTCTATCCTGGAGAAGGGCTCGTCCCGGGAGAAACCTGAGAGAGGGGTGATGCTGATCGACAGCGACGAGGACGGAGACTCCAACACCACCACCCAGTCAGAGCAGAGGGAGGAGAAACTACAGGTATGCACGCAGACACACAAGCACACACACATTGGAGGCATGTAATTAAAATACAAATACACATTTTCTGTCAAATATAAATCAAGCTAGCCCAAACAGCACGGTTCTCTCTCCCCTTTGTGTGTGGTTGTTTGTGCAGTTGTTCTGGGCCTACATCCAGGCCATGCTGACCAACCTGGAGACCATGACCCTGGAGCGCCTCCACTCCATGCTCCGGATGTTCGTTGCCACGGGACCCGTTGTTACAGAGATGGACGTGAACAAGCTGCAGGCCTTCCTGCAGAGGAAAGTGCGAGACCATCAGCTCATCGTGTCCGCAGGCGTCTACAGACTGCCAAAGTCCACCAACTGATGATGGGGAGAAGAGAGGAGGAGAAAAGAGGTACAACTGAAAAGTGGAGGTATTTGATTTGTTATCTAAATGTACATGATGCAGCATTGCAGCCAGAGACGACAGTTTCCAAGATGAACCTGTTCGGAAATAGGTTCGGAAGGCAACTGAAAACGCCAAGCATTGTGCTGGATTACTATGTCTTACAATACGAATGGCTATAATGAGCATGAACCAACCATTCTGTCTTTATTGTTGACCATCCAGGTTGCTTGACTTTGTTTTGGACTGCTTGTCATGACTTTTGGGGACTCAGAATCATAAGCAGTGTTTCAGCACCCATTGTTCTGATGTTTCCCAATTTCAAGAAAGTTGCACATTGAATTGACACGTGTTTGGACTTGGTGTAATTTGGGGTTCCCCTTTTGATTACATTACAATTGCCTGAGCTAATAAAAAATAGATTATTATGTAGTATGATTGTATTTGTCTTAAATAATCTTGTAGAGCTCGCTGAAATGAAGTCCAGTGAGGAACTCCTGACCTCTAGTGGATCATTGTGGAATGTTAGATTTGTGTATATCAAATTCAGCATCGGAGTTTGGCATGTGTCCTACTACATGCTTGGATGTTTGTTTATTCAACTCTCATGGATTTCAAAACAAGGCTTTCAGCACAACTGCTAAAATTGTCTATTGTCTTCCAGATTATTGTCTGAGCCAGTTTATTTTTAACTGATTATCTATTTTCCTGGTCCTAGAGACCCACATGGTGTGCAGGTTTTTGTTCCAGCCCCCAGAGGTTTTTGTTCCAGCCCCCAGTACTCACACCTGATTCAATGGTAGTTGAATCCGTTCTGTTAGTGCTGTGGCGGAACAAAAGCTTGCACACCCTGTGAGTCTCCAGGACCAAGATTGAAGAACGGTGACAGCAGGCAGGGGGCGCCTCTTTCCTGTCTTTCTCGGACCTGTGATATCACGTGTAGGGGGCTGTACTGAAGGTTGCTGTGATTACGGTCATCTGGATGGATGTTATCACACTTAGCGGGGGGAGTTGAGGAACATCAGTCCGAGAACTGCACCGAAGTGAACAACTCACGGAATCATGCTGCTGAAGAACAATTAGAGCAAAATTATAGAGGATAAATTACACATGGATTACCTAAGCATTTCTTATTTTGACTGAATTTGCATTTCAATAGAGAACCATATGGTTCGGTTTCAGGACAGTAAGGCGTCTTACCACTCTCCAGGTGAACTCACGAGGTCCGTTTTCTTGGATTTATTTAACTTCAATTTGGAGCAATGGGATATAAAACGGAACTTGGATGCTGTTTCTTTGTGATATTCACATATTCTCTCATATCCAGGTGTCGAACGAATATGGAAAATAATATCACAGTTGCGGTGATGCTTCCCGATAATTACCACAAGTATCCCTGGGCTTTGCCTCGGGTTTTCCCAGCAATTCTTATGGCGAAAGAGAATCTCCAGAAGAAGCACGGACTTCTCCAAGGCCACTCTATTCAACTCTTGAATTTCAGCACAGAGGATTCAACCGGTGTCTGCGCAGAAAATAAGGCACAGATTATCGCCGTGGATACCAAACTTTATAATAAACCAGATGCTTTCTTTGGACCTGGGTGTGTGTATTCAGTCGCCTCAGTTGGAAGATTTGCATCCCATTGGAAACTCCCATTGATAACTGCAGGAGGAACAGCATATGGGTTTGATAAAGGGGAAGAGTACAAAACGATTGTGCGCACCGGACCCTCGACCACAAAACTGGGAGACTTCGCTAACATTATTCACGCGCACTTTAATTGGACCTCTCGTGCCATTCTGATTTTCCAAGATTTGAAAAAAGATGACCGACCTCACTACTTCCTCTCTGAAGGAATTTACCTAAATTTGAAGGATGAAAATGTCACAGTTGATGCCTTTCCATATGAAGACTCACCAAGCTATTATAAAGAAATCATTACTTTCATGAAAGACCACGGAAGAAGTAAGTCCATTAGTTGGCTGTTTCTACATGTGCAATAGTAGGTTGACGTTTATTGTCATGAGACTTGTCCTGGAGGCAGAACAGAGCGATTTCCCCTTAGATAGGCCAGCTGCAAAGTATTTTGGCTATATTGTAAAAATTCATGAAAACAAAAATGTGCTTTTTGACCTGCTGATATGGAAATGTGTATGTTGCCATAATACCTAGCTCCAAGAATCTGATCAGATTTCCAAAATGCATGCAACATTGGCTCGACAGTAATAAGATAATATTTGGGCCTTAAACTTTTATTACTCTTGTCCACCTGCGTATTTTCTGAAGAAGAAAAAAAGTGTGTGTCTCTCTCTCTGTGATGCGCTCGTGGGTTCGTTCTTTTCCCGTTTTCAAGGGTCCCTGCATGCATTTTAACCGAACATTTGAATTATTGTTTTAAATATTATGTATCTAGTATTAATGTTAATTAATTACAATGGCCCCATGTTAATTTACAATATCTTGGAATGTTGATTCACAAATCATTAGGTTTTTATTTGCAGCTCATTCTATTTAAAAGTTTGCCATCCATTTCAGAGCAATTTATAAGAAATGCTTATCGTTAGACAATTAGTAGGCTAGCTCAATATATTGATTGTTTACCTAGTCTAAAATCATATTGACACATGGTAATGACTGTTGTAGGATATGTTATTACATGTTTATTAAAACTGTAGATGTTTTTTTAATGACCTTTTATTAACCCAAAACTGTTTTAGAAATGGTAAAATAGTCATCCAAACTTGTAATTAGTTCAGAAAACCATATCCTATACACATCACAGTACATTTACATTACTTCATAATTTAGTGATAAATAGCAAAATATCCTTGTTAGTGATGTTAAAAAATGGGGAGATGTTGTCTGTAGAGATTGTCACAATGAGACCAGATGAAAGTGACAGTGCTGTTTGGCTGATTAGACCTCTCTCTTATAGACAGCATGTTCTCTGATTTTTTTGTTGGACATGGCAAATTACCAGTTGTGTTGGCAAATCAAAGCTTGTCATTGGTTAAATTGTTTGATACTAGTCATTTGTGTGTGTTTGCTTTCTGTTAGTCATCTCTCAAGTCAACAACTTCCTTGTTGATTATCTTATCAACACGATAAAGTGGTATCAATATGGGTTTATTTGAACCACGATTTCACACATTTTGGCTACAGGATTTAAAGAATTGGTAGCTTTCAATTTTCAATTCATATTTGTTGGCAACTCAGGGAATCCATAAATATTGGAATGAATGATGTTAATGATAAATTCTACTGACATGGTTGCATAAATCACCTTGGACCTTATCATTATACTGTAATATAAAAATATTGATAAAATACCAGTAGAAGGGAATTGGAGTGAGAATTGGAGTGATGAAAGTCCAACAGAGAAACATCAATGCTGCTAAAATCTATGTTTAATGTTCTGAAGCTGGCAAGTTATATTGATGTTTGCTTTGGGCCAGAAATGTTCTGTTTGTAGGAAACTTCTAATGGTTAAAGTCCATCTGGCAGAAGTAAAGGCACTGAACTCTTTCACATCGTCTGGGAAGATACTGACCTTCAGTTTTCTCAATAACCCTAAAACATTACTCTAACCACTAAATGTTACTCTTGGCACACTTTTTTCATCCATATTTATTGTCAGGGTACTGATTTAGAAATCCATGGATCAGAACATTATAGAGTGACTCTGCACTAACCAACATAGCACAGATGGGACTGTGTGGCCGATGAGTGATTCTTGTAAATGACTGGGTTTATCCACTTGAAAAAACTATTTTTCCAGCAGTAAGATTAACAGATAGTGCAATAAACACTGCATATGGGGGTACCAAATTGGTGTTATATCAGGAACAGGCACTTTGAAAGCTGCCAAACCTCTTAGCTTAATTATGGGCCCGCCCATGGTGAGCTTGGGGTGACAGAAGCGAATGGTTTTGTCAGGGCTTGTCCAGGCTAGGAGTTCTGGCTCGACATTCCATTCACTTTTATCCCTATGAGATCACCAACAGATAACCCCTGGGCTGTCAACCTTTACCTCAACTGTGTGGTCTCTCATTTTGGTCAACGTCTTGACAATGTCTAGTTTTGATTTCAGTCGTTTTTTTCAGCCACTTGTTGTCAGGTACAGATGTGTAATGTAAATTGATGCAGTACAACACAGTCCTTCATATTTTGTCTTCTGATGGGAAACCTTTTGAAGTCTGATTATTAGCATCCTATCAGAGTTGAAAAACGTAATGGCCTTCGTTCATGAAAAAAAACATGACCTGCTTCAAATGGACAAACCTTAACTCCTAGACTGAATAAAATCCCACTAGGTTGCCTCTGGAAAAGCTCACAACTTGATGCTTTTCAGACTACTAAAAGCATACATACAGAGGAAGGAAATGCCACACGGCTGAAAGGAAGAATACATCAAGCTGTGTTTTCTCTTTTGTGGAGGTACATATGTGAATGTTTGTCGCAGACTTGAAAAAGCTACATGAGTGCTAACAAGGGTGCCCACATAATGGAGCTAAGGTACAGTATAGCCCCCTCACTGTAATCACACAAAATGAGTTTCCTCATAGTTGGAAATGTGTTTATAGAAGTTGTGTACTATCTTCCTGGAAGAGATCAAAAACATGCGATGAAGGACAGTATCCAAGTCCTCTTACGAGAGTTATTAAAGTCCCTCTAACATGACAACATAATGGTCTAGAATATAAGTATCAAAAACGCTCTCTGTCATATTTGTATAACACTGTAAGTAAGATACACATTTCACAAAACACCAAAGTTGACTAGTTTCTAAACATGCAATTTTGCAGAGACTGTTTTATTGGTCTTTTTTCAAGCGTCCCACCTGAAAAAAAGACTGAAATTGAATGTATTCATTGTTTAGACTATGATGTTCTTGATTATGAACAGATTATGGGATGCGCTGAATAGTGCAGCATTAAGGTTCTCTGCTTGTTGATGTTGTGTGAGTCATTGGAGAGAATGCAGCCTTGTACTAGAAATGTTAAATTCAGACGAGGTGGGTTGTTTGCCATCTTTGTCTGCCACAAAGTGAAACAAAATGTACCAAACAATTTGAAGTGCTTTGTATTAAGTTAAGCCCAGGCAGATCCTTATGATTTCTACAACACAGGAGGACTTTTCCCCTGCCTTTTTGTACATTTGTTTTGGACGATGTCCAGGAGACAGCAGGACTACTTGGCATGGCTCCTTGTGAGCTGTTTTGGAAGAGATGAGAGTTGGGGTCTGAGTGGTGTTCTGTGCCGACATTGGTCTAACACTCTAGGAAATGTCTGCTAACTGGGAGGACTGCCTTAGAGCTGGCAGAAGTCACTCTGACATATGCAGTGAATGGAAATAATGCCTATAGACATGCTGTCCATGGAGTAGACGGCATGCAAACAGAATGGGATTGTGTAATGTAGACAGGCGTACAGCACAGACAGCTTTTACACACTGTAAACACACATGCACACTCCCCTTAAATAGCACACACACAAATGTGCACCTTCAGTAGGTCTACCTACACATGCTTCCTCATAACTGCAATCCCACAAAAGTTACAGATTTGGATTGATTTCATATCTATGGTTCATATCTAGATCTAGTCTACCAATAATAAGAGCAACTGCAATTCACAGAATAGTGCTAACATAATTCACATAAAAACAGGGATAAGAAACCTTTGTGTTGTGTTTTTGTCTTCCCTACAGTTGTGTATATCTGTGGGCCTCCGGACACGTTTCTGAGTATCATGAAGCTTTTCCAGAGTGAGATCCCAGACCCTGAGAACTACGCCATCTTCTATCTGGACGTGTTTGCTGAAAGCCTAACGGAGCGCAAGCCCTGGCTGAACAACGACAGCCTCTGGATTGATCCCATCAAGGTCTTCAAGGTAAACTGCACAGACAGAGAGTTGGACAGATAGAGAAATATTCCCTCCGTTGATCCCTTTCATTCATTACATTTTGCTAATTTAACTTATCAGAGAAAACTTTTTTAGTATGTAAATGTAAATGTAGTAATTGTGTCCAAATACTCTGTCAATTATTTGGTGGTGAGCTGTCAGAGCCTTTCCCCTTCTGTCATTGGAACCAGACAAGTTTACTAGTCTGAAACTGCCATTTGGCATGTGAAATGGATGTCTCTCACTCAGGAAATTGAATTCAAAGCCTCTACTTCGTGTGTGCATCACTGGCCTGTCCATCAACAGAATCATTCCACATCCCTCTGTTCCAACTGAACCTGTATCAAAGGGAACACAAAGTTCACCAAGTTGAGTGAAGGTTGACCGACGTGTATGAATTACTGTAAAGTAGTGCTGAGCGATTAACCAACATTTCATTTGAACCGAGCGACATCGGTTCAATTACTTGAATTCCATTGAGTACTTAATTTTTTGTGAGCCAATGCGTTTCTTTAGAGAGAAATGAAATTATTAATGAGTGCAATCATGCCAAGAACTATGTGGGACGCTGGACTGAAGGGAGTTTTAGTTTTCATTAAGCAAATATTCAACCTAGTTCAACGCAAGAACGTGGTAATTAACTACAATGACCATAATCCATTGTGCCTGTTTTTTCCAGCTCGGACCGAGATGGATACACTTTTACGCCTGGTATGTTAGGTTAGATACACACAGACCGCATGAGAAAGGAATGTACACAACACAACCAAAAGAGGGATAGAGACAGTGTGTGAATGTATGCCTTATTTACTTTAAAGAAGTACAATTATTTCGTCAGACAGCTCTGCAGCATGCTTAGGCAGGCTAGCCTAGATAAATAGGAATACTAAAGGCAGGACAGTATTTGGGGAGCACAGAGAACGTTGTTTGGCTGCTACTGCCTGAGCAGAGATGAGATGATGACTTTAAGGAATTAAAAATAATAAAGTCATCAAATAAAAATTCAGTAATATACACACTAAAATATTTAATTATTTCATAGTAACTTCCTATTTTTCAATTGATGTCTACCCAATGTGGACCTGATGGAGACAATGGAATATTTTCAATGTTTTGGCTTTGGAATTTCCATTAAAAAGCTAACAAATCATTTTAATGTCATTATTTCATCATGCCTATGATAACAATGAGTTGTCCCACAAATTCCAAACGGAAATTGCAATGTGCAGATGGATAAAGCTTTTATTTGAATCACTGTTAAGTAAAATGAGAGCGCTTCTCTGATCAACGTGATAACGAAGTAAAACTTCATAATGGTTCCGACTCGGCATGCAATAATCTGTAGAAAGGTCATAATTCTTCCCTGCCTCCTCTCCGTCTCTGCTCGGAGGACTTTAATGATTAGATGGAGTTAATAAAGGAGATAATGTGTTTTCAGCTAAAAGCCACTTAGTCCTACATATTGATGTGTTGAGAAATAAGTAAGTGGGGGGTACAGATGCTTCTCTCCCAATTTGGTCGTTAAATGTCACTGATTACGCTGCAGTTACTATAGACAGTATCGGAAATAATGACGTTGAACTCCTAATGAAAGGCACTACAAATGGCTTTGGATTGATAAAGACAAGGTAGGCTTATTAACTTGACTGAAAAAGTGTGTGCTATTTTCTGGTAATTGCAGGTCTTTTTTCTGAAGCGTTACAATAATAAGGCTAGATATAGCAGACACAACATGAAGGCACTTAGATGGAGATAGATAAGCTATTTGTAAAGCACTTTGTTGAGACCCAATACATAGTTAAAATTGATGCCTCTGCTTGTGATATACCTTCTAATATTTGTAACATAAGATTTTGGCCCTCTTTTACTGATTATACAACATCTTAATTTGACTACAAGCAGTAACATGATTTCTGGCAATATGCAGCTCATAGAACGTTGATTGCTTTTGGAAGTTAGTTGTCGATTGTTTATCATTACTGTGTCTGACCATTCAGCCAGATTTAGCCTATATCAATAATAACAAGGCAAAGTGCAAGTGAAAACTCAACTGATGACCATAGATTAAATCTTTGGCCGAAACTGTGCTTTTTCATCCAAACAATATGCCTCCATCCAAATATAATCAAACAATGTCACAACTGTGGTCTAATAGCAATTTGTAAAAAGTGGTGCAAATAGAACATTTGGTAAACATAAGCAATATACAGAGTTACCACAGCTGCTCTTCTGAGTTTTTGCCCTAGTCTTCAAGACATGTCCATAAGTTTAAGTGCATTTGGACACAGCTAATTGTGCATTCTTCACCATAAATGTTGTTGCTGTTTACTCATAAGGGACTGTTCATTAGACTGTTTGGATTATAAAATAGGATAAATCTGTTCATTATTAATCCTACTTAAAAGCATTTCAAATTACATTTGAATCATTTACATTTCCACCCAGTAGAAAATCACTCTGCATGCCATGATTATAAATCTTGAAGAAGAAAAGGAGAGCTGCACACTCTAGGAGCTCAGATGCAATAATTTTATAACCTAATAACCAACGTTTCGACAGACAAGCTGTCTTCATCAGGGTATAATGACAAACACTGCGGGTCACTAGTTTATACAGTGTCAAAGGACACACACAGGTGTCTGTAATCATGGCCGGGTGTGGCCTGATATCATTGGTTAATTCACAGATAAACAGAACATACAAAAAACATGAATGGATAGCATACGATCATAGATTAAACTTGGCTACATAGGCCCACAAACATTTTACAATGAAATGATTACAGACACCTGCGTGTGTCCTTTGACACTATATAAACTAGTGACCCGCAGTTTGTCATTATACCCTGATGAAGACAGCTTGTCTGTCGAAACGTTAGTTATTAGGTTATTAAATTATTACATCTGAGCTCCTAGAGTGTGCAGCTCTCCTTTTCTTTTTCAAGTGCTCTACTCCGTTAGCCAGCACCTCACCTAAATAGGTGTGTGTTTCTTTCGCCTCCAAATGATTATAAATCTGTCATAGTTGGTACATGTTTATGATGCTCTGGGTGTAATTCCCCAGTAATCTTCTACTTTCTCATTGTTGTCTCTTTCTTTCTCCCAGTCTGTGTTGGTAATAACATACAGGGAGCCTGATAATCCAGAGTACAAAGAGTTTCAAGATGAGCTCCACATTAGAGCTCAGAAGGACTTTGATGTGAACATAGAACCCTCTCTGGTAAGTTGTTTGAAATCCTGCCACAGCTAAGCCACTGCCATAAAAGAGATCATTTATGCATAGTAATTAATGGATTTCTTTGATTCATTAAATACTTGACTCCTTCTTTGTGAAGATTAATGGCGTTTTGGCAGTCTAACTGGGCTCAACCAGATATTTAAATAGAGACAGCCAGGGAGTAGAGCCATGCCTATAGGGGTCAAGGTAGAATTCCAGGCAAATAGTAAACAAAAGCTGCATATGTGAATGAAGATCATGAAGACTACTCTCTTGCTGGCTGATGTTGATCCAAGATGGCGTTGCAGTGCGGTCGTGTATTCTGTTGTGTTCTCGTGTAAATAGACAGTTTTTTTTTGTCTTTTTTTGTATATATTTCTCTATCTCACTTTCCATCCTTTAACTAAATATACTTTCCTGCAACCCGCCTCACCCAATGTGGAACAGATTCTATTATTTCTTTATACCTTTTATCAAGAACCTATGGCTGAAACTAGCCAGCTAGCCAGCTAACTAGCTACTTGCTATTAGCCACCGTTAGTGGTCTTCACCACTGTCCGTGGCCTGCACTACCTACCAGCCAGCTCTAGCCTGGACAATTATTGACCAGTCTGCACAGCGTGCTATCGACCCAGAGCATATCGGATTTTCTGCGGGAATCACTGAATCACTGGACCTTAACACCGGATCATCGCAACTAGCTAGCTGCAACCGAATGGCTGTTGTTGGCTAATTCACCACTGTCCCGATGCACCAGTTAGCCTTGAGCTAGCCTCGAGCCAGGCCCATCTCCCGGCTATCTACCTCTCTGTCAACCGGACAGGACCTCCTAGTGTCGACACGGAGCCCCGCCGATCTATCACGACTGGTCTGCCGACGTAATCGTCTGATGTGGTTTCAACAGGCTTCCCGTTGCGACGACCACGAAGATCCATCTGCTATCCCCGGCCCGCTAGCACGCGCAATCAACAGCCGTGCCTCCTGCTCGCCTGTGCAGTAGCTGCCTACGAACTGCTCCCAGACTTACCTATTGCTATTCACTGGACCTTATGATCACTCAGCTACACAGCTGATGACTGCTGGACTGTTTCTTTACACGGTACTCCATCTTGTTTATCTGTTTAGCCTCAGCCCAAACTTTCGTTGCCATTACCAGTTGTTGTTTTAGCCCTCTCGAATAACACCTGTGATTGCGTTATGCCTCTCTCCCATGTCAATATGCCAAGCCTATTGCTGTTTGGGTTAGTTCTTATTGTACTATTTCACTGTAGAGCCCCCAGTCCCGCTCAACCTGCCTCAGATAGCTCCTTTGTCCCACCCCCCCATACACGCAGAGACCGGCTCAATCGGTACCTCCAGTGATGCTATATGTACTATGTACTCATATCCTTCCATATCCTTGTCTGTACATAATGCCCTGAATCTATTCTACAACGCCCGGAAATCTGCCCCTTTTATTCTCTGTACCCAACGCACTTGAAGACCAGTTCTTAAAGCTTTTAGCCGTATTCCTTATTCTATTCCTCCTCTGTTCCTCTGGTGATGTAGAGGTTAACCCAGGCCCTGTAGCCCCCAGTATCACTCCTACTCCCCAGGCGCTATCATTTGTTGACTTCTGTAACCGTAAAAGCCTTGGTTTCTTGCATGTTAACATCAGAAGCCTCCTCCCCAAGTTTGAGTTATTCACTGCATTAGCACACTCTGCCAACCCTGATGTTCTAGCAGTGTCTGAATCCTGGCTTAGAAAGGCCACCAAAAATTCAGAAATGTCCATCCCGAACTACAACATTTTCCGTCTAGATAGAACTGCCAAAGGGGGCGGAGTTGCAATCTACTGTAGAGATAGCTTGCAGAGCTCTATCATACTATCCAGGTCTGTGCCCAAACAGTTTGAGCTTCTACTTCTAAAAATCCACCTTTCCAGAAATAAGTCTCTCACTGTTGCCGCTTGCTACAGACCCCCCTCAGCCCCCAGTTGTGCCCTGGACACCATATGTGAATTGCTTGCCCCCCATCTATCCTCAGAGTTCGTACTGCTTGGTGACCTAAACTGGGATATGCTTAACACCCCGGCCGTCCTACAATCTAAACTAGATGCCCTCAATCTCACACAAATGATCAAGGAACCTACCAGGTACAACCCTAAATCCGTAAACATGGGCACCCTCATAGATATCATCCTGACTAATTTACCCTCTAAATAAACCTCCGCTGTCTTCAACCAGGATCTCAGTGATCACTGCCTCATTGCCTGCATCCGTAATGGGTCCGCGGTCAAACGACCACCCCTCATCACTGTCAAACGCTCTCTAAAACACTTCAGCGAGCAGGCCTTTCTAATTGACCTGGCCCGGGTATCATGGATGGATATTGACCTCATTCCGTCAGTGGAGGATGCCTGGATGTTCTTCAATAGTGCTTTCCTCTCCATCTTAAATAAGCATGCCCCATTCAAAAAAGGCATAACTAAGAACAGATATAGCCCCTGGTTCACCCCAGACTTGACTGCCCTTGACCAGCACAAAATCATCCTGTGGCGTACTGCATTATCATCGAACAGCCACCGCGATATGCAACTTTTCAGGGAAGTCAGGAACCAATATACACAATCCGTTAGGAAAGCAAAGGCTAGCTTTTTCAAACAGAAATTTGCATCCTGTAGCACTAACTCCAAAAAGTTTTGGGACACTGTAAAGTCCATGGAGAATAAGAGCACCTCCTCCCAGCTACCCACTGCACTGATGCAGTGGTCCTCTGTAGCTCAATTGGTAGAGCATGGCGCTTGTAACACCAGGGTAGTGGGTTCGATCCCCGGGACCACCCATACGTAAAAATGTATGCACACATGACTGAAAGTCGCTTTGGATAAAAGCGTCTGCTAAATGGCATATTATTATTATTTATTATTATGCTAGGAATCACTGTCACCACCGATGAATGTACGATAATCGAGAATTTCAATAAGCATTTTGCTACGGCTGGCCATGCTTTCCACCTGGCTACCACTACCCCGGCCACCAGCTCTGCACCCTCCGCTGCAACTTGCCCAAGCCCCCCCCTCCCCCGCTTCTCCTTCACCCAAATTCAGATAGCTGATGTCCTGAAAGAGCTGCAAAATCTGGACCCCTAGAAATCAGCTGGGCTAGACAATCTGGACCTTTTCTTTCTAGAATTAGCTGCCGAAATTGTAGCAACCCCTATTACTAGCCTGTTCAAACTCTCTTTCGTATCGTCTGAGATCCCCAGAGATTGGAAAGCTGCCGCGGTCAACCCCCTCTTCAAAGGGGGTGACACTCTAGATCCAAACTGTTACAGACCTATATCCATCCTGCCTGCCTTTCGAAAGTATTTGAAAGCCAAGTTAACAAACAGATCACCGACCATTTAGAATCCCACCGTACCTTCTCCGCTATGCAATCTGGTTTCCGAGCTGGTCATGGGTGCACCTCAGCCACGCTCAAGGTCCTAAACGATATAATAACCGCGATTGATAAAAGACAGTACTGTGCAGCTGTCTTCATCGACCTGGCCAAGGCTTTTGACTCTGTCAATCACTGCATTCTTATTGGCAGACTAAATAGCCTTGGTTTCGCAAATGACTGCCTCGCCTGGTTCACCAACTACTTCTCAGATAGAGTTCAATGTGTCAAATTGGAGGGCCTGTTGTCTGGACCTCTGGCAGTCTCTATGGGGGTGCCACAGGGTTCAATTCTCGGGCCGACTCTATTCTCTGTGTATATCAATGATGTCGTTCTTGCTGCTGGTGATTCTCAGATCCACCTCTATGCAGACGACACCATTTTGTATACATCTGGCCCTTCATTGGACACTGTGTTAACAAACCTCCAAACGAGCTTCAATGCCATACAACACTCCTTCCGTGGCCTCCAACTGCTCTTAAACGCTAGTAAAACTAAATGCATGCTCTTCAATCGAACGCTGCTTGCACCCGCCCGCCCGACTAGAATCACTACTCTCGGCAGGTCTGACTTAGAATATGTGGACAACTACAAATACCTAGGTGTCTGGTTAGACCGTAAACTCTCCTTCCAGACTCACATTAAGCATCTCCAATCCAAAGTGAAATCTAGAATCGGCTTCCTATTTCGCAACAAAGCGTCCTACACTCATGCTGCCAAACATGCCCTCGTAAAACTGACTATCCTACCGATCCTTGACTTCGGCGATGTCATTTACAAAATAGCTTCCAACACTCTACTCAGCAAATTGGATGTAGTCTATCACAGTGCCATCCGTTTTGTCACCAAAGCCCCATATACTACGCACCATTGTGACCTGTACGCTCTCGTTGGCTGGCCCTCACTACATATTCGTCGCCAAACCCACTGGCTCCAGGGCATCTATTTTATTTAATTAACATTTTTATTTTACCTTTATTTAACTAGGCAAGTCAGTTAAGAACAAATTCTTATTTACAATGACGGCCTACACCGGCCAAACCCGGACGACGCTGGGCCAATTGTGCGCCGCCCTATGGGACTCCCAATCACGGCCGGTTGTGATACAGTCTGGAATCGAAACCAGGGGAGGAATGGCGGCCTAGAAGTGATCTATAAATCACTTCTAGGCAAATCCCCGCCTTATCTTAGCTCATTGGTCACCATAGCAACACCCACCCGTAGTATGCGTTCCAGCAGGTATATCTCACTGTGTCACGTTCGTTTAATGACGGGTCAGACCAAGGCGCAGCGTGATATGCGTACATGTTTATTTTTACTGTTAAACACACGACAAAACAACGAAGGAAACGAAACGTGAAGTTCAAGGTAGCACACACAACATACCTTAACCGGAACAAGATCCCAAAAACTAGACTGTGCCAATAGGCTGCTTAAGTATGGTCCCCAATCAGAGACAACGAGCGACAGCTGCCTCTGATTGGGAACCACACCGGCCAACATAGATCCACACATGCTAGATATACAACATAGAATATATACAAACAAAGAATATACACACCCTGACTCAACATATAAGAGTCCCCTGAGTCAGGGCGTGACAGTACCCCCCCCCCCCCCCCCCCCCCCCCAAAGGTGCCAGACTCCGACCGCACAACATAAACATAACAGGGTAGGGGCCGGGTGGGCATTCCGCCTCGGAGGAGGATCCGGCTCGGGGCGTGACGACCTCTCACTCTCCGCCTCCCTGTTGCGCCCCTGGTCTGGTCTGGACCTCGGCGCGCTACTTCCCCTCTCCTTCCTCCCACGATACGCCAGGCCCAGTCTGGACCCTGGTGTGGAAGACCCCGAACCTGGAGAGGGGCTGACGTCATGGTCTGGACTGGAGCCGCTGACCGGAGCTGGACTTGGCACCGGTGGAGCGGACTGCTCTGGCTCCGGAGTGGAGCCGCTGACCGGAGCTGGATCAGGCACCGGTGGAGCGGACTAATCTGGCTCCGGAGTGGAGCCGCTGACCGGAGCTGGACTGGACCCCGGTGGAGCGGACTGCACTGGCTCCGGAGTGGCGCAGCTGACCGGAGCTGGATCAGGCACCGGTGGAATGGGCACGGGCCGTGCTGGACTGGACAAAAACACCACTGGTCTGGTGCGAAGAGCAGGCACGGGCCGGACCTGACTAGGAACACGCACCATTGGCTTGGTGCGAGGGGCAGGAACGGGCCGGGCCGGACTGGCGACGCGCACACTGGCTTGGTGCGAGGAGCAGGAACAGGCCGGGCCGGTGCGACGCGCACCACTGGCTTGGCGAGGACATGAACAGGCCGGGCCGGGCTGGCGACGCGCACCACTGCTTGGTTCGAGGAGCAGGAAACAGGCCGGGCCGGCTGGCGAGCGCACGCCCACTGGCTTGGTGCGAGAGCAGCGAGGGGAACACAGGAAAACAGGCCGGCGGGCTGGCGACGCGCACCACTGGCTTGGTACGAGGAGCAGGAACAGGGCCGGAGCCGGGCTGGCGACACGCACCACTGGCTTGTGCGAGGGGCAGGAACGGGCGGGGCGCCGTACTGGGAACACGCACCACTGGCTTGGTGCGGGGAGCAGGAACGGGCCGGACCGGACTGGCGACACGCACCACTTGCTTGGTGCGAGGAGCAGGACTGGGTTCCTTTGTTAACCCCCGCTCCTTCTGCTGCCTAACCAGCTCCTCTCGCCGTGCCTCTACTCTTTCCTTCTCCCTTTTAGCCTCCTGTAGCGCCTCCCTCTGACCGAATAACTCCTGCTCCCTCTGAACCAATAGCCCCCGTAACATGGTGGCCTCCTCTCCTAACCTGCAGATCCGCCCTTTAATGGCCTCCTGCTGCCTCGTCGTCCACACCGTGTGCCCCCCCAAAAAATGTTTCTTGGGGTTGCCTTTCGGGTCTCCGTCGTCGGCACTGTTGGCGCCGTTTCTCCTCTCCTACCTGGGCATCCTCCTTCATCGCCCTCCGATAATGGACGGCCTCCTCCTCCGTAATTCTCCCCCAACCGAGGAGGACATCTACTAACGTAACCTCCTGTTGAGTCCCAGGCGTTTGCTCCTTCTCGGCACGCTGCTTGGTCCTTGTTTGGTGGGATCTTCTGTCACGTTCGTTTAATGACGGGTCAGACCAAGGCGCAGCGTGATATGCGTACATGTTTATTTTTACTGTTAAACACACGACAAAACAACAAAGGAAACGAAACGTGAAGTCCAAGGTAGCACACACACAACATACCTTAACCGGAACAAGATCCCACAACTAGACTGTGCCAATAGGCTGCTTAAGTATGGTCCCCAATCAGAGACAACGAGCGACAGCTGCCTCTGATTGGGAACCACACCGGCCAACATAGATCCACACATGCTAGATATACAACATAGAATATATACAAACAAAGAATATACACACCCTGACTCAACATATAAGAGTCCCCTGAGTCAGGGCGTGACACACAGGTCATCCCCAAAGCCTACACCTCCTTTGGCCGCCATTCCTTCCAGTTCTCTGCTGCAAATGACTGGAACGAAATGCAAAAATCTCTGAAGCTGGAGACACTTATCTACCTCACTAACTTTAAGCATCAGTTGTCAGAGCAGCTTACCGATCACTGCACCTGTACACAGCCAATCTGTAGTTAGCCCACCCAACTACCTCATCCCCATATTGTTATTTACATTGTTATTTATTTTGCTCATTTGCACCCCAGTATCTCTATTTGCACATCATCTTCTGCACATCTATCACTCCAGTGTTAATACTAAATTGTAATTATTTTGCACTATGGCCTATTTATTGCCTTACCTCCATAACTTACTACATTTGCACACACTGTATATAGATTTTCTACTGTGTTAATGACTGTACGTTTTGTATATTCCATATGTAACTGTGTTGTTGTTGTTTTTATCGCACTGCTTTGCTTTATCTTGGCCAGGTCGCAGTTGTAAATGAGAACTTGTTCTCAACTGGCTTACCTGGTTAAATAAAGGTGAAATAAAAAATTTAATAAAAATGTACAGACCTCCGTTCCTTTCAGATGGATTTCATTGCTGGCTGCTTCTATGATGGCTTTGTGATGTATGCTAAGGCCTTGGAGGAGACACTGGCGGAGGGGGGCTCCCAGAACGATGGAATCAACATCACACAGAGGATGCAAAACCTGCGATTTTGGGGTGAATATTATGAGTTGATCATAGTGCTGCTTTTAGTTGACTTTGCATTCATCCATTTTGTGTCAGTTGGGTAGGAAAGAGGTCTAGAATTTTTTTAACCCGTTTTTGCCATTATGACTGATATGAAAGGTCTAAATGTTAAGGTTTTCTGTGTTTAAGGGGTTACAGGACTTGTGACCACAGACAAAAACAATGCCAGGAACACTGATTTCAACCTCTGGGCAATGACAAACCAGGAATCTGGAGAGTATGGGGTAAGTGATACTTCTGCAGGTAGATCAATTTAAGCAAGACATTTACATTTTAGAAGACACTCTTATCCAGAGCGACTTACAGTTAGTGAGAGCATAAATTTTTCATACTGGCCCCCCGTGGGAAATGAACCCACAACCCTGGCGTTGCAAGCACCATGCTCTACCAACTGAGCTATAGCTTTGCTATTTTAGAATCCACTCACAAAAAGACACAACTTGCAATTTTGTTATCAAGCTTTACAGTCATGTTTACAGTCATGGTAGTTATTACTCTTCCAAAAAGGACCAATAGTTTATCAACATTACACAATTCATTTGTTGCTAATTTACCATAGTGGTAAACCGGCCACCATTATTTTATACTTCATGCAAATATGTTCTGATGAGTGGCCGTATGTTCACTATGACGAAGATACTTTCAGGTTAGTTTTGAGTGTGACTTACAAGAGAATCAATATGAGTTCCCCAAGTAAACATTTGGCATTATCAATGTGTTTTCCTATGTGAACATTCAATAACAGTGTTCATTTTCAAATTCCTGCTTTTACAATATCCCACATTTGGAGATGAAGGATGCAGAGCTATTCTTTTAAAGAATCTTGTTTATTTATTGTTTATCGCTATAGCCAACATTTCCATATAAATTGATATTTCTAAACTACAAAAATATCTGTTGTCAAAATATCAATTTGTGCACTTTATGATTTATAAAAATGGATTTCAATAGTAAACTCAGTGACAATAAATAATAACAGTGAATGCGAGCAGTACTTTCGGGGGACTGGTCCAATCTGTTCCAGATGTTAGTTTTCTGTAATTACTGTAACAAGAATTTCCCTCGATTCCTCTCCGCATAGTGAATTATGTGGAGCTGAAAACCCAATGCTTTGCTTGTGCATTGCCAATTTGCCATCAATGTATTTAAAAGCAAATGTTCAACATCATGCAAAGGCTAAGGGCTATTACTGTTTGGGAGATATTCTGGGGTCCTGACTCTTAATGATAAGATGTCTTGTGCTCTACAAACACTTCATTGTGGTCCTCTGTAGCTCAGCTGGTAGAGCACGGCGCTTGTAACGCCAAGGTAGTGGGTTCGATCCCCGGGACCACCCATACACAAAAATGTATGCACGCATGACTGTAAGTCGCTTTGGATAAAAGCGTCTGCTAAATGGCATATATATGTCTCTCTGAACTGTTCCAGAGTTGCTTTCTGGAGGACAAACATTTTACCGATCGATCAGTGTCCACTAACCTAACCAAAACTCCCTGATGTGAATAAATCACTGAATAGAAAGACATGGTTCTATAGAAACCAGCAGCTATTGAAGCCATTGATGACTGGTTGAGTTGAATGGCCCTCCTGCTTCTCAACAAACTTTTACAACCTGCTTAGTTTTTATGGCCCTCTCAGTGGGGCTGCCCTTCTCCTTCACAGACTGAGTAGCAGGGAGGACCCAACCCAACATGCCTGTCTGGCCCCCCACTAGGGAGGCAGGCTATATTGACATTCTCCAATGGCTGGTTAGAGACATAGGAGTCATGTTTCACAATGCCCTTCTGTGACAAGGGAAGCTATTAACAGGGCTGGCAAATGCCATATCATCAAACAAAAAAACTCCCGCCGCCTGAGCTGAAAGACCTTTTTCAAAACTACTAATTAGTTTGAAAAGTGCCAGTAAGTCAACGATTCCCTGTCTTGCTTTATACATTATTATATTTTAATGTTGAACATTTTAGTCATAAAGTTATTTATTATGGGCATGCCCCCAAAACATTCATGCCAACCTTTTGATTTCTTCACTGATGGGCTTACATGTTTTAAAGGCATTGAAGGAGAGTAGCAGCTATTTTAATATGCAGCTTTAATGCTACTGTGAATTTAAACAGGCTCTCATTTTCATAATACTGTGTGGTGTGATATTTATTTGAAGTGGGAGAAAAAGGGCTCATTTTGATTATGTAACATGCTCCATAGTCATCCCTCTGAATGTATCATTTGGCCATGGGAATCGAGTTTGTAAACAAAGCAAAAACTTTTTCTTGGTGTTTTGCAGCTTGTGGCCCATTACAATGGAACTAACAAAGAGATCATCTGGTCCTCAACGGAGAGGATTCATTGGCCCAAAGGGAGCCCACCTCTGGATAACCCACCGTGCGTCTTTTCTTCTGATGATCCAATCTGCGTTGATGGTAGGTCAAGTAGGCTGGCTCCTGTACAAGTGATGAATGGTTAAGTCAGGTGCTTATATAGTATTACAGCAGTTTGAATAATTATGTAAAATGTTGTACCATCTTTGTTGATGCTATTTCATGTGCAACATGGTTTTTCATGGAAGGCATGTAGAGATGAAAACTTTGACTACTGTATAAGGAGAAACACTTCTTATGAAGAAATGTACATGTATTAGATAATAAAGAATAATTAGGTAGGCCACTGCAATGAAGTGATATGGTATCTATAGATAATGAATGAGTGGGAGGGTGATGAGAAGCAACAATCTCTCCAACAAGTGGAGTCCATCCATGATTAATTATCTGATGTGTGAGTCTGGCTGTTTGTCGCCAGTGGTGTAGGAGGAAGACCGGAGGGAGACCAGCACAATGATATACAGCAGGGTTCCCCAATTGGCATGATTTTATTTGGCCCCCCAATTTTTGTTTTTCAATAAACACTAAAAACACCAGCAAATAAGCTCCAAGTGATTTGGATTTTGGAAATCTTTTCCAAAGTATTCCCGCGCATAATTGAGAGATAGATATACAATATGTGATCATATACAAATGTAAGGTTTGAAATCTGTTTGGGCTTCTTTCGGTCAATTTGCAGTCAACAAATTATTAGTAATTATGTTCCGGCTCCCCGGCCATCCGCTCAAGAAAAAAATCAGCCCACGGGTGAATCTAGTTGATATACAGTATGCCTGGTGAACAAGGTTAAGAGACCAAAAGGATCCTGCCTTGTTTAGGAATGACCTTCTGACTCAATTAGCATGAGTTGGACTGAAGGGGAACTGGAATGGAGCAACACAGATGGTCACTTAAAGAAGAATGGTTGAAAAAGGCACATTTGAAAATACTGAGGTGATACAAGTGCTGTGTTATATATATCTTCAAGACGCCACAAGTTTGAGCTTAATTTATGCTAGTGTGGAAGTACAATTCGTTATTTTTTTTAGGAATTTCAGGATTGTTGAAATGTTACTGGTGGATATTATGTCTGTAAGTGCTGGCAAATATAGCATACCCAAATACAGAATATATTAATTTCAGGAACGTATTGTGTGATTTTTGAAAGCATAATTTGGTTCCCTGTATTTTCAGCTCACCTTCCAGTGCTGGGGATTGTAGCTGTTGGGTCTGGCTTAGCCCTCATCATTTTTGGAATCTCCAGCTTCCTCATTTACAGGTGAGTTGTTTGTTCACGCAGGCTTGAGCTCTGAAGACGGAGTAGTTGAAATAAACATATTTCATCTTGGAGGGAGAGAGAGAGCGGGAGAGCGAGAGAGCGAGTGAGCGGGAGTGATAGAGAGTGAGATATTTATTTAGAAGGAACACAAAAGGTTCCAGCATGGAATTGACATGACTGTTGCCATGAGCAACCGCTCAGCAGCTGATGGTGCAGAAGTATGTCAGTTGCCAAGGCAAACTCAGTTACACTACCTGGCCTAAATACAGTGCCTTCAGAAAGTATTCACACTTTTTCCACATTTTGTTGTGTTACAGCCTGAATTTTAAATGGATTACATTTAGATTTTTTTTGCCACTGGCCTACACACAATACCCCATAATGTCAAAGTGGAATAATGTTTTTAGATTTTTTGTTGTTGAAATTATTTTAAAATGAAAAGCTGAATTGTCTTGAGTCAATAAATATTCAACCCCTTTTTAATGTCAAGCCTAAATAAGTTCAGGAGTAAAAATATGTTTAACAAGTCACATAATAAGTTGCATGGACTTTTTGAATGACTACCTCATCTCTGTACCCCACACATACAATTATCTGTAAGGACCCTCAGTCGAGCAGTGAATTTCATACACAGATTATACCACAAAGACCAGGGAGGTTTTCTAATGCCTCGTAAAGAAGGTAGATTGGTAAAAATTAACTGACATTGAATATACCTTTGAGCATGGTGAAGTTATTAATTACACTTTGGATGGTGTATCAATACACCCAGTCACTACAAAGATACAGGCGTCCTTCCTAACTCAGTTGCCGGAGAGAAAGGAAACCGCTCAGGGATTTCACCATGAGGCCAATAGTCACTTTAAAACAGTTACGGAGTTTAATGGCTGTGATAGGAGAAAACAACTGAGGATGGATCAACAACATTGTAGTTACTCCACAATACGAACCTAATTGACAGAGTGAAAAGAAGGAAGCCTGTACAGAATAAAAAATATTCCAAAACATGTATCCTTTTTACAACAAGGCACTAAAGTAATACTGTGAAAAATGGGGCAAAGTGTTATGTTTGGGGCAAATCCAATACAACATATTAATGAGTACCACTCTCCATATTTTCAAGCATAGTGGTGGCTGCATCATGTTATGGGTATGGACTGGGATAAAAAAATAAACTGAATGGAGCTAAGCACAGGCAAAATCCTAGAGGAAAACCTGGTTCAGTCTGCTTTCCACCAGACACTGGGAGATTAATGTACCTTTCAGAAGGACAATGACCTAAAACACAAGGCCAAATCTACTCTGGAGTTGCTTACCAAGAAGACAGTGAATGTTCCTGAGTGGACGAGTTACAGTTTTGACTTAAATCTACTTGAACATCTGTGGCAAGACCTGAAAATGGTTGTTTAGCAATGATCAACAACCAATTTGACAGAGCTTGAAGAATTTTAAAAAGAATAATGGGCAATCTCTTAGAGACTACCCAGAAAGACTCACAGCTGTAATTGCTGCCAAAGGTGCTTCTACAAAGTATTGACTCAGGGGTGTGAATACTTATGTAATAAATTAGCAAATTATTCTAAAAACATGTTTTCACTTTGTCATTATGGGGTATTGTGTGTAGATGGATGAGGAAAAACATTTATTTAATCAATTTTGAAAATCGGGCTGTAACACAACAAAATGTGGAATAAGTCAAGGGGTATAAATACTTTCTGAAGGCACTGTAGTTGTACGCCTGCATAGTTACGCTGAAATAATAATCATTAACACGTTCCTTTGTTATTATTCTTTACACTGAATGTAGACTGAGACCTTTGGTTGATCCCCACTCGCATTGTATGAACTTTGCTACAAACCTGTTTGTGAACTGATCTAGAGTTGTAGTGAGCTTTCAGAAATAAGTTATAGTTTTGCTTAATTGGCTTTTTAATTGCGGTGGCTAAAAAAAACCACCCTCGTGCTTATGCATCTGCTGGAAAAATAATTGGTACTCTGAACCCTGTCTATCTAGAGAAACGTGTAAATGTTTGTACGTGCACTTCATGCAGATGGAGCTTTGAGCAGTAAATGAAAGCATCTACTGTAACCCCAAATATTGATGTTAATGTTGTCAGTCACAGGTGGACCCTTGATATTTCATATTAATTATGTTTAATATCAAAACATGAATTGCCCTCCCTCTATTTGCCAGGATTTTAATGACCAAATGTTTATAATTTCATATCACAGTTAGTTACCTTAAAATGTTTGCCTTAGGAAATGGAGATGGTTGCATTGTTGAAAAGTGAAACATAGAAACAAATACATATAGACATATTTTTGGGGCATTGGCTATAAAATGAAACTCCATGGTTTGGCCATATATGGGGTTCTCTTATACGAAATGTGAACACACATTTTCTCACAGACGTCACAAAGTATTGTGATTTTCTTCCATGTGTATTGTACACAATTCAAAGGAGGGTCAGCTTGGCTTTCTAATGAAGTCTGACTGGGGTTTAAATGTGTGTGCAGTGTGAGGGGAAGTTGAGCAGAACCTACAAGGCTCTATAGTTTAATGGAGGGTTGGTCCAGCAAAGGTATTCACATATGGGATTTATGAAACAATAGAGCTAGTGTGGAGCCCTACACTTTGGTGCTGCGGCTGCCAGAGGCCTGCAAACGAAGGCCTTTAAATAGAAAAATACTTTTTGGGGAGAGATAATTGGTTTAATGGTGTTTCCTGCCCTGAAAGGTTGCGCTGCTCCCCAGCATTCTTCCACACGGGCACAGTCCAGAGAGGTTATATACTCACCGGCATGGAACAAATAACGTTACACAAATCAACAAACAATCATGTTTGTATCTGGCTTTAGTTTTTACTAATAGTAGCTGATCAGATACCAACTTAGTAAAATTAGGCTTATCTTGTAGTTATTATGTTTGGTACAACTTATGTCCGTTTTTGAAGTTTCTGAATTTAAACCCTATTAAAGGCAGAATTTAAAACATACTTACAGTTAATACAGTTTCCTGCTTAGTCAAGGAGTCACTTGAAAGCCCAGTGCCTTTTTGTTTTTAAACTCTGAACTGGTTGGAATGCAGGCCATGGAAGTTTTCAGTGTTAGGACCCAGCAAAAGGTTTTCGGACTGTTTGACTTGAAAATGTGCTCTAAAAGAAACAAATAATAGTCTCTTTTGGGGCCAACTCGGGTGGCTCAGTAGAGGCGTAAAATCCACCAATATGCAAACGCTGCAATAATCCACTGCCACCATCTGGAAGTGTTTTACACCTTTTAGATTGGCCTGGAATGTGTGGGCTCTGCTCTTTTCAATGTGTCAAACTAATAACAATTTCTCCCTCAAAATGCTCACTTTCTCTGCATTTGAGCTATGCTTGAGGAAAATGGTTTGATTTTAAAAACATGGACTTTTTGCAGCAAATCGGGGAATGTTGAGAAACACCAGGTCCTGAGAGATCTGCACCAGATGTGTTGATTCACTTGGATATTTTTTTTCCATGTCTTGGAGTGACTGCCAGTTAGTTCTACTGGTGTTTAAAAATAACACCATAAAAAACGTCCTGAAATCAGTGACCTGAAAATTCAAATGTCAATAAATATTTAAGTGGGCTATTTTTGGTCACACAGTATTTACTTTTGGCCTGGTAACTTGCAGTTACAGTAACTTGCAGTTCGATCAACATCAGGGAGGAAGCATTGTAGCATTACATCATTACAGATGTATTATTCACTATACCACAACTTCAATTTGATAATTCTTAATAGAGCTGTGGACAGTTCAAACTATACCCTCTGACAGTGTTATACTGCTCAACCCAAATCATTCAACAACTGCATTTAACAGATAGTATCTGACAAAAATACCACTGACAAAAGATGAATATCTCATTTGAAATGGCAAGTTTCAATTCTGTTGAAAGATCACAAATGCATTGCTCATCAGTAATGATTGTGTCATGTTACACCAATCTGATAACAACATTCCATGCATACTGCATGTACATGTGAGAGTTTAGTTCTGTGCCTTTGTTGTAAACCCCTTTACTAATGTGTTCTCCTGCTGTTCCTGTTGAAGGAAACTGAAGCTGGAGAAGGAGTTGGCTGGAATGCTGTGGAGGATAAAGTGGGAGGACCTGCAGTTTGAGAGCCCCAACAAATACCCCAAAAAGGCAGGCAGCCGTCTCACCCTCTCACAGGTACATTTGTCTCTGAAATATCCTGTCAAGACTCAAGAGTTCGAACCAATTAATGATCCGTAGTATGTTGTGTATTAGTAATTCAGAGCGATCTCATATTATGACGTTGGCGAAAAGATTTCCTCACAATTTGATCTTAATATTGTTTTAAATGTGTCAGTAGTCCTGGCACTGCAGTGCGTCGGAGATTAAGACGTTGTTTCTCTGGCAGATTAGAATTCCATTTTAGCCAGTGAAAGGAAAGGCTCAACAGATGCAGTTTATCTTGCTAAAACCTCTACAGACCTACAGTATCACTGCTACCTCTCATATGCAACAGAGGAATAGATATCTGTCTCTGCGGTACTATTATTGACGTCATTGTTGTTTAATAGCAAACAAAATGTGCAATAACAACACTGGCATTGACATGTATCTATTGAGTAGTTACATGTTGGTGTCTGTACATACAGTATATTTTTTACATTGAGAGAGAAAAAGAAAAAGGCAGAGAACGAGCGAAAGACGGACCAAATCCTTTGTTAGTTTACACATTCTTGAAAGTCTTCCCAGTGGTTTATTGAAGGTGGCTGGGTTTGCGGTGGCAGACTCATATTAAATGATTGTTAAAATAACCCCACGTCTGGCCCATATATATACACTTCATCACGTCCTCCAAGTATCAGGTTCTGGTCCTGCTTGTCTGAGGACTGATGCTTTTCCTATGCATTGCATTTCAGTAAACACACGCATACAGTCATGTCCAAAATTATTGGCACCCTTGATAAAGATGAGCAGAAAAAACTGTATAAGATAAATAATACAAATACTGAGCTATACTGTATGCTAAAAAACATTGACAATTATTTTATATTAAAACAGTTGCTCAGAGAAAGAGATTTTGTTGAACAAAGTAATAGTTTGTTAAACAAAATTATTGGCACCCCTGTTCTCATGTCATCTGACCGTTTGATAAACGGCATTGGCACTTGGATTGGAACCGGTGCTTTGGTCAGATGACATGAAAATAAAGCTCTTTGGCCACGCACACAAGTGGTGGGTTTGGTGTTGAAAAACAGAAGCATATGCAGAAAAATATGGTGGTGGATCTTTGATGTTTTTGCTTTCACTGGTCCTGGGGCCCTTGTTAAGGTTAACAATATCATGGATTTTACCAAGTACCAGGACATTTTAGCCGAAAACCTGGTTGCCTTCGCCAGGAGGCTGACACTTGGCTGCAGGTGGATCTTCCAGCAAGACAATAACCCCAAGCACCAATCAAAATCCACAAAGAAATGGTTAATTGACCACAAAATAAATGTTTTGCAATGGCTATCTGTCTCCAGACTTGAACCCCATTGAAAACCTGTGGTTTGAATTGAAGAGGGCAGTCCATAAGAGCAGACAAAGGATATTAATGATCTGGAAAGATTCTGAATGGAGGAATGGTCTAAGATCCCTCCCAGTGTGTTCTCCAATCTCATAAAAGTTTTTAGAAAAAGGCTCAGTGCCATTATCCACGTAAGGGGTGGGTGAGAGTGTTGGAAAGAGGGGTGCTACTAATTTTGACCCCTATCTTTTGTATTATTATTTTTTAAAGATTTTTTGTATTACTTGTTAAACAAAATCACTTTCTCTGAGCAATTGTATTAGTATAAAATAATATCATTTCTTATTGTTTTGGCATACAATATAGCTCAGGTATTTATTTTATACAATCTTTTTTGCTCATCTTTATCAAGGGTGCCAATAATTATGAACCTGACTGTATATGCACACACACTTACAGTACACATGTGCAGGCATTCATGCACGCACATGCACACACTTTCTTCATTAGACGTTTTCAGTCCAGTTCCTGGGATAAAACTGTGGAAAACATATTGATTTTCAAAACCGATTTATTTTCCAGTATGCCATGTGTTGCCAATATTTGCGTTATCTACAGTTGTGTAGTGCATGCTGGACACATACAGTGAGGGAAAAAAGTATTTGATCCCCTGCTGATTTTGTATGTTTGCCCACTGACAAAGACATGATCAGTCTATAATTTTAATGGTAGGTTTATTTGAACAGTGAAAGACAGAATAACAACAAAAAAATCCAGAAAAACGCATTGTCAAAAATGTTATAAATTGATTTGCATTTTAATGAGGGAAATAAGTATTTGACCCCCTCTCAATCAGAAAGATTTCTGGCTCCCAGGTGTCTTTTATACAGGTAACGAGCTGAGATTAGGAGCACACTCTTAAAGGGAGTGCTCTTAATCTCAGCTTGTTACCTGTATAAAAGACACCTGTCCAGAGAGGCAATCAATCAATCAGATTCCAAACTCTCCACCATGGCCAAGACCAAAGAGCTCTCCAAGGGAGTCAGGGACAAGATTGTAGACCTACACAAGGCTGGAATGGGCTACAAGACCATCGCCAAGCAGCTTGGTGAGAAGGTGACAACAGTTGGTGCGATATTTCGCAAATGGAAGAAACACAAAAGAACTGTCAATCTCTCTCGGCCTGGGGCTCCATGCAAGATCTCACCTCGTGGAGTTGCAATGATCATGAGAACGGTAAGGAATCAGCCCAGAACTACACGGGAGGATCTTGTCAATGATCTCAAGGCAGCTGGGACCATAGTCACCAAGAAAACAATTGGTAACACACTACGCCGTGAAGGACTGAAATCCTGCAGCGCCCGCAAGGTCCCCCTGCTCAAGAAAACACATATACAGGGCCCTTCTGAAGTTTGCCAATGAACATCTGAATGATTCAGAGGAGAACTGGGTGAAAGTGTTGTGGTCAGATGAGACCAAAATCGAGCTCTTTGGCATCAACTCAACTCGCCGAGTTTGGTGGAGGAGGAATGCTGCCTATGACACCAAGAACACCATCCCCACCGTCAAACATAGAGGTGGAAAATGTATGCTTTAGGGGTGTTTTTCTGCTAAGGGGACAAGACAACTTCACCGCATCAAAGGGACGATGGATGGGGCCATGTACCGTCAAATCTTGGGTGAGAACCTCCTTCCCTCAGCCAGGGCATTGAAAATGGGTCGTGGATGGTATTCCAGCATGACAATGACCAAAAACACACGGCCAAGGCAACAAAGGAGTGGCTCAAGAAGAAGCACATTAAGGTCCTGGAGTGGCCTAGCCAGTCTCCAGATCATAATCCCATAGAAAATCTGTGGAGGGAGCTGAAGGTTCGAGTTGCCAAACGTCAGCCTCGAAACCTTAATGACTTGGAGAAGATCTGCAAAGAGGAGTGGAACAAAATCCCTCCTGAGATGTGTGCAAACCTGGTGGCCAACTACAAGAAACGTCTGACCTCTGTGATTGCCAACAAGGGTTTTGCCACCAAGTACTAAGTCATGTTTTGCAGAGGGGTCAAATACTTATTTCCCTCATTAAAATGCAAATCAATTGATAACATTTTTGACATGCGTTTTTCTGGATTATTTTTGTTGTTATTCTGTCTCGCACTGTTCAAATAAACCTACCATTAAAATTATAGACTGATCATGTCTTTGTCAGTGGGCAAACGTACAAAATCAGCAGGGGATGAAATACTTTTTTCCCTCACTGTATATTACCCTCACCCCCTTTTCATTCACTCTGTGCACGCTCGCTCCAACACGTACATCTCCCCAGAATTCTGTTTTGCATATGAAAACATGACAATTCTTCATTTACCTGGCAAATAACACTGAGCCTTTTTCTAAAATGTTTTATGAGATTGGAGAATATTAATAAAATGTTAAAGCTATGAAAAGAACTCAACTGATTTGTATAAGTGAACATTGTATAGTTACATTGTATATTTGTACATGTAATAATAACCAAACTGAAATGAATTGTAGTGTACCTGAACATTTCTCTGACTGTATCTTATCTGACAAAGGATACTTGTTACTCCTTCCAGAGAGGTTCCAGCTATGGCTCCTTGATAACTGCCCATGGAAAATATCAGCTGTTTGCTAAAACAGGCTATTTTAAGGTAAGGCTGTCTGAGTTCTGACATTTTCAACTCCTGCTCACTCCTTTACACCCACACATGTGCATGCTCACAGAGGAGATGGATAGGAGAGTGGGCGAGCTCCGCAGAGCTCAGCTCAGATGGCTGGTTTTAATGTGATACACAGAGTGTGATTCACATCCCACCTCACAGTTTGGACACCGCTAGCAACTTGTTGTTGTTGTTAATGTCTCTGTTTAACGAGTCTATTGAGAGGGTGGAAGAATATAATATAAATGTCAGGCTTTGAATGTTGATACGTGGTTGTTGGCTACATGTAACACTTTAGTTTTTTTTCTATTCACACCTATAGGATTATATCCCTACTATAGAGTATCCAAAGTTGTTTATTTTTCTCAGTTTTTCTAGTTATAATTCACACTTTGGATTTGATGGTACCTTCTCTGTAGATTGACTTTACTTTTACATATCAAAGTGACAGATGTATCTCTCCATCTCAGTAGCATGGAATAGATGTTAAATATACTTGGCACACATACCATACACTATTATATCGACACTATAGTCCACCTATTGTCCCTTGTGTTTTCCCCTGAATAAGACTTGAATATGTCAATATGTTTCTATTACCATTTATATTTGTCCTTTTCATTCTTCCCAATGAATGGATGCCTTTCCATCACACAGATCCCATAGATGGTCACATTTAGGTCTCTCCTATTGCATTGTCACAGTCATAGAAAGATAATACTATAGGCCAGGGTTTCCCAAACTCGGTCCTGGGGCCTCGCAGGGGTGCACATTTAGTTTTTGTCCTAGCACTACACAGCTGATTCAAATAATCAAAGCTTGATGATGAGTTGATTATTTGAATCAGCAGTGTAGTGTTAGGGAAAGAACCAAAACATGCACCCAGGGAGGTGCCCCAGGACCGAGTTCGGGAATCCCTGCTAAAGAACGTATCTCTATAGTCACAGTACACTACACAGTAGTCTGTTGCTCAACCTGCAGTAGAAGGTTTTTCATCTCCATCTCTTTATCTCGCTATCTCTATCTCTCTATCTCGCTATCTCTATCTTGCTATCTCGCTATCTCTATCTCTTTATCTCGCTATCTCTATCTCTTTGACACAGGGCAACCTGGTGGCCATCAAATATGTGAACAAGAAGAGGATAGAGCTGACCAGACAAGTGCTGTTTGAGCTCAAACATGTAAGTCCAGATCAGTACCCAATGATTTACTGTGTATGTGTGCTGTTATTACTTAAGTCTGGTGGGTTGTTTAAATCCTTACTGCCTCACTGCAGAGGGGTATCCATTCCTGAAGTGTTTAAGAATAGTCCAGCTAGTGGGCTTTTCCCTCTTATACTTCATTTAGTGTTATTGGCTCCTATAGAGAGTCCACTCACCTGATTTCCCCAGGTTTAAACCAGTCACTGATGAAAAGGGTCTGAACTAGTAAACTCTGACCCTCCAGGACTAGAGTTCAATGTCCCTTTACCAGGGCCCTGCCTCATGTGTTGTTGTAGGCGAGCATGCCTCTGTTTATGACCCCTCTGCAGCAGCAGTAGTAGAATGAGTCTCTCCCACTGAGGTGGTAAAGCCACTGTGGGCCTTGGGGGGTGTGTACTGAATCATTACCAGGTTGTTCAAAGGAGGGCCTCTTTCACTTCGCTACAGGAGATTTCTTATTACTGAACCTGTGCTGCTGCTGTTAAAGACTCAGATCCTCAAACGTCCTCCAACATCAGCTGCAACAGCTGTGGATGAAGAAAATTGTCTCCGTTTTGGGAATTACATTTAATGAGACAGTGACAGAGAAAAGTGAAAAAACAAGAAAACGTCTGACTTGAAACACGATGTGGGAAAGACAAAACATTGCTGAAACATTACTTTGAAGCTAATGAAAAGCCAGACAGTCAGTCGGTGCTATTATCGGATATCTGGGTCTGTATTAATTTAGTTATCATCCGTGCGGTGGATAAGGCTCTGAGCAGCCTAGCCCCCCCCCCCTCCTCTCGCTCTGAACTGTGGCCCAGTGGATGTGAGTTGTGCAGGCCCTGGATGCCTCTACTCAGCGGTGGCGGGTGGGCGGCGCACACAGGAGAGACACCAGTCTGAGCTGGCAGCTCATCAGATGCCCCTGGGGCCTGATCGGCTGTCAGTTCCCTGCTCATGAAAGAGCCAACCAGATGAGGGAGCGAGGGGCCTGCCAATGGAAACTTAACCGCTTGTCTTCCAGAGCCTCTCCTTCCCCTCTTCTCTCCTCTCCTCCCTTAGCTAGCGTTCCGCAGGGGAAATTATATAGGCCAAAGGGTATGCTAACTTCTCCTGAGCCGTGAAACAGGAGCAACTGACTCCCTGGTTTTGGTGTTACAGCAGCTGTCACTCACCTCTGTTAGTGAATCGGCCCCAAATCAAAACACACTGTACAGGTTATTCTCACTGTTTTTAGAAGTTTCACACTGCTCAGAGATATTATGTACATCCTCCCTGCCAGGGCATGGATGTATTGAAACGGAGAGGATGTGTGGACTGGATTCACTCTGTTGTTTATACATACACATCATATGGAACATTTAAATACAGAGCATGCAATGCTTTCCTATGTGACAAGCCTAAACATAATTTAGAGGATTTTGTTTTGTACTTTTTTATTTGACATGATTCATTTTTGGACGAGATCCCAAGTTGTAAGAAGAGGACATGGAATTAATGATAATTTTCCATGTAGTGCCTTTTACACATTTGCCTGCTATGCACTCATATTATAGCCAATACATCCTTTCAACACCTCTGCATTTTTTCACATGCTGTAAGTTCCCACAACACTGCCTCATTCATAACCTCCCGGCCCAATTTATTCACATGCACGTGTCAACTGGATGGCCTATGAGGGAATGCTATACTTAACACGTAGAAAAGACACTGTGCCAAAACCTGCTCGCTGTAAATGTACTATTCTGATGAGGTGCTTTTTTTGTTGCTTTTCTAGAAAGGAAAATACCAGTTTTAGCATCTATTGCCATTTAATCTTGAGAGAGAGAATGATATACTGATTGAAATTCTATGTGTTTGTTTACAGATGAGAGATGTGCAATTCAATCATTTAACCAGATTCATTGGTGCCTGCATTGACCCTCCCAACATCTGCATCGTGACTGAATATTGTCCCAGAGGTAGTCTTCAGGTAAGACCTCACAATCATTCCATTTAATGGAATTTCAATTGTATTTGCATGTTTTGTCAAGTATAATCACTTGGACCGATATAATATTGAAATGACCATTTGGTGTGGTCTTGCTAATGTATTATTCATTCATACTCTTTCTGTATAAATGTATGGTTTAAGATGCCCTGAGAGACATTTGGAAATGTACTCTTGGCTTTCAAGTTTAGTTTGAAATGCCAGCCTGATGCACTGCTACCCTGCCAAAATGGAAGAATGTGAAGTTATGGGAAACTTTTAATAATGGAGCTTATCATGTGAAAACACTTCAGACTGACTGTTACTGTAAAACTGTGTTACATTATGTGATGTAGGGAGATTTCAGATTAATTAGAGCGATGTCAGCGAGATGTCAGGATTAGAGATGTCAGCTGAAAATTGTACTTCTACTTTCAGGACATTTTGGAGAATGAGAGCATCAATCTGGACTGGATGTTCCGCTATTCACTCATCAACGACATAGTCAAGGTATGTGTCCTGTTTGACAGCAGCCAACACATGTACTATGATTGTAACTGCAGTTGGGTCGTTTTGAGGTCACATTGGTACCTTATTAGTGAGAGAAGGTATTGGTGTAGCACATGGGAATGTGTGAAACGTACTTCTCAGGCTGAAGTGTCCCCACTTGCGCCAGCGAATAGCTAGCTTTTTTAAAAAGTCAAGGGGTCTGAATAATTTCTGAAGGCACTGTACATAACTGTAGACTGAAATATAACAAAACCGTTCGACATAGAAACACCAGATTTTGGGCAGCTTTTTAAAAATAATGTTGAGTAATTATGAAATTATTAAAACATGTAATAACATTCCACACATGAGGCCACTAGGTTGTTTGACTGCAGGAAAGGGGTAGCCCTTTAACCTAACTCTAACACCTAACTCTTACCCCTAACCTTGCTGACGTTACCCACCTAGCTAACGTTAGCGTTAGCTACCTAGCCACCTACCTAATATTAGCCACAACAAATTGGAATACGTAACATATTATACGTATTGCAAATTCGTAACATATTATATGAATTGCAATTTGTAACATATCATACAAATTGTAATTCGGAACATCATACGAAATGGATGATGGACATCCACAAATTAATACATAACATACGAAATGTAAAATTTCATACTAAATGGAGGGAGACAGATTTACATTTACTGTGTTACATCTACCCCTGAGTCCAGGTTGAAAACTTGGAAAGCAACATAATCACAATCTCACTGCAAAATTCCTTCCGCTTAATCAAATGTAATCATCCATGTATTTTCACTACTTATTTTTAGCCTGCTCTAACAAAGGGGCTTTTTGTTCAAGATCACTATCTTGGAGAAATACTATATTGAGGTGAAGTACATGGATCATGGAGTACCTCAACCAAATTTCTGTTAAAATAACAGTCTGTTAAGCTGTCAACAACAGGGACCTTCTAACAAGCAAAAGGCCCTATAAGCCACATTCTGATACATATGCTCCAACAAATATTAGACGTATACATGACAGTGCAGTATGTTTTTGAGTCCCCGTAGGAATTTGATTTCCAATGTGAAATGTACAACTACTTGAAACACTTGACCCCATACAGAATTTTCATCACATTTCCATTTCGATCAAACTCAAAACACATTATTTCCACATGATCAGATTTGTATGTTTTCATGTATGCTATATTTTTTTGAACGGTCAATTTCATGCTTGTTCTACCAGGGAATGAACTATCTGCACAACAGCTACATCGGCTCCCATGGAAATCTGAAGTCATCTAATTGTGTGGTGGACAGTCGATTTGTGTTGAAAATTACGGATTACGGCCTGGCCAGTTTCCGTTCATCATGTGAAAATGACGACTCGCACGCACTCTATGCAAGTAGGTCAACATTGTCAGAGGAGGTAATCACTTTGCCTCCTCACCAATGGAAGAAAACTAAATGGAGGATTGGATAAAGGAGAAGATGCTCAGTGGTTAATGTGAGTTTGTTGTGTTTCTAGAGAAGCTGTGGACAGCTCCAGAGTTGTTGATCTACGACAGACATCCTCCACAGGGCACCCAGAAAGGAGACGTGTACAGCTTTGGCATCATACTCCAGGAGATAGCCCTGAGGAATGGACCCTTCTATGTGGACGGCATGGATCTGAGCCCTAAAGGTAAAACGAATTATGCTAATAAACGCAGGTTGGCATTTATTGAAATGACTTATGTACTGGAGGCAGCTCTGCAGGGTAGTCACTTGCTGGCACTGCCACAAAGTAATAAAATCCGATTTTAAACCTAACCTTAACCACACTGCTAATCCTAGTGCCTTACCCTAACCTTAAATTAAGGCCAAAAAGTAACATTTTCATCCCATTTCCTCCTTCATGCGTGTTCCCTAATCGATAAAGAAAATCATGGAGCAGAAGTCTGCATCTTCATGGTTGGACAACTCCAGTCCTCGGCTCAAGGGCTGCAGTATTGCTGGTTTCAGTTCTCGCTGGGACTTCACTGATCGATCAATTTCCCAGAGAATGCAGTGCTGCACACACTAACACTAACACTCCCCCTATCTTGACTATTACAGAGATAGTGCAGAAGGTGCGTAATGGCCAGAGGCCTTACTTCCGGCCCACCACAGACAACAGCTGCCACTGTGAGGAGCTGACCATCCTGATGGACAGCTGCTGGGCCGAGGACCCTGTCGAGCGGCCCGACTTTAGCCACATCAAGATCTACATCACCAAACTCAACAAGTGAGCACTGAGCACCACCATGCCCCAAAATGGCTGCCTAGCTCCTCTTGTATCAGACACCATGTAGATCATATTTTCTTTGGATGTATTTTATCAAGATGTTTGAAAAGGAGAATGGAGGAAATAATTTAAATAAGTTGAAATTATCAAGAGATGCTGGAAAAGGATTAGTATTAATACAAATAAGATTAAAGAAAATGGTGCTGCTTATCACACACAAATCATTTCAGATCAGAGAGATAGGAAGTCTTCACCCTCCAAGTGTGGAGTTTATATTTATCTTGTTGTTCTTCATGGCTTACCCTATGCATTATTCAGATGCATATTTTGGTTTGTGTGTGTGTGTGCGCGCGTTCCCTTGGGCTGGGCAGACCTGTCACAGAAGGAGAAATATGTGATCTACCTGCTGATCAAAAGCCGGAAAACCTTGAAGATGTAGAGTTGAGTGACCTCTGTGACCAAGAAAACCAAGTACTTTATGAGCTGTGGGAGGAAATCAGACCGTGGTGTTTGTTTTGTCGCTGGATCAAGCTTTCAGGGCCATACTCCTTTTTCCTACAACACACCCCCATAATCAGATGTGTCCCTTTGCTGCAGAACTGTTTTGATCTTATTCAACGCTTCTGTATTTCTTACAAGTACAAAGGCTGTTTTTGTGTTGGCTAGGTAGACAGACATACTCCTTTTGAATTCTGACATTTGTGGCAGGGAGATCACAGCACAGGTTGTGGTTCATTGTATTGACTGGCGGCTTGGCCGAGTGGCTTAAATCAGGGCTCTGGGTCTGTCTGTCTGTCACGTTAGCATATAGCCACCGGCAACGCTAGCCTCCGTGATATACTTCTGGCCATTTCCACTGGTCTGAGGTAAGAGGGACATGATTGATACCTCTCAGAAGCACTTATTTTCATTACGTAAATATGTTATTGACATGTAGTGACGGATGGCGTGTTATTTTTGGTGTGAAGCCCTGGCTGAAGGACACAAGAACAAACAGGGTCTTTAGTAGTCAGTGGCGTAAACGATCACTTTGGCTCACACTTTGTGTATTACAAACGGCCGAATTGACTTCTCTGTAAGTGACCTTGCTGAATTTGTATGATTACTATTCGGCTGGGTAAAGAATGTGAAATCTCTCTTCTCCTTTGGATCCTATCTCCTCAGTCCTCAATGACAATCCTTATGATGCAGTGTACTTTAAGTTATTGAGCTGTGTATCCTTCACATGATTACCCCTGATGCACTGCTATTCATCAGAGTCTGTATTTCATGTCTTGCTTTATCGTCATGTTCCTCTACATGTGGGTGTATGATCTATGACCCATTGTGGGAAAGATTCCAAACACTGAGTGTACAGTACTGTACAGCTATAGCCCTGGATGACTCAACCACTGTGCTGTATAGGCAAATAGTCTGAAAAGTATGGCCATGAAGTCACTTCTGAAATACGCATTGAATAGACCATATTAGGTGATGTTAACGGAATAGAAAGTACAGAAAGTTTAGATATTTTTAATTTAGAATGGCAACAAATGAATGGGTATGTCATATTTCTGTCTGTTTGTGTCACAGGGAGGGAAGTACCAGTATTCTGAACAACCTGCTGTCCAGAATGGAGCAGTATGCCAACAACCTGGAGAACTTGGTAGAGGAACGAACGCAAGCCTACCTGGAGGAGAAAAGAAAAGCCGAAAATCTACTTTACCAGATCTTGCCACAGTAAGAATATAATTATTTGGATTTTCCTCTTGCACTATTATGTTTATAAGTCTGAACTTCTGAATATCAAACAGAGAAAATTATGAGACTATTTTCTGTATTGTACCGTGCCACCTATTCATTGTTTAAATTCCACAGCATGAAAGAGCGTCTCAGCTTTCTATTCTATCTCACACTTTACAAAAATATACACATTCACAGTTACATAAGCAGAGAGGAAATGAAAGGGCAAGGCAAGATGGGAGCTGACAAGCTAACTTCTCATTAACCGGAACTAGGAGGAGAAATGTGATAGGGGGTTAAGCACCTCTGATAACACGAAAGCAGCAAATGACAAGCCATGTCCTCAGTCTATTTCAGTGGTGTAGTCACACTCATTTATCATCCCATTGTCTGCCCAAATGTCTCACCCGAACTTTAAGCCATTTTGACAGACAGAAAAGGGCCTGAGAGAACGGAGCGATACCTTCTCTCACTGCAGAATTCATCTTATTTGACCAGAGTCCTGGATTAACCTAGCTGTTAGTGCTAAACTGTGCCTCTGGCTCTTTAATGTAATTACTGTACTTTAAAATATGAATGAAAAGGGAGTTATACTGTTATAATCTGCTTATACTGTAACTTCCCTTACTCATTGTGGGCCGTAGCTGCCAAGCTTACTGTCTGTTGATTCATAGCAACGATAACCTTATCTCTTAAGGACTGTATTAGCATTTCGTTCTGTATGGTTTTACTAAGTTTGTGTTCTCTTATCCACAGCTCAGTAGCAGAGCAGCTAAAGCGAGGGGAGACGGTCCAAGCGGAGGCGTTTGACAGTGTGACAATCTACTTCAGTGACATTGTCGGCTTCACGTCAATGTCAGCTGAGAGTACACCACTGCAGGTAAACAACTGTCAGTAGAGATATCCACGTCTAACCAACATCGGGTACATACCTTACACAGTGGGATTCAAACTTTCTTACCGGGGCCCACATTTTTTTCTCAATATTTTATTGTGACCCCACCCCAAATATAATGACTCAAACTTAAAATTGGTAGATTTAGATTTTTACATCAACAAATAACCTTTAATTCATTGCATTTTCATCTCTCTTATCCAAATTTAAGAGAACCAATAAATACATTTGACTAATTTTTCTAAATATCTTTCTCAAAAAAGTTTGTATATAATCTGTCCTTTTTAAAATGTATTTGTGTATATATATATATATATACAGTGAGGGAAAAAAGTATTTGATCCCCTGCTGATTTTGTACGTTTGCCCACTGACAAAGACATGATCAGTCTATAATTTTAATGGTAGGTTTATTTGAACAGTGAGAGACAGAATAACAACAACAAAAATCCAGAAAAACGCATGTCAAAAATGTTATAAATTGATTTGCATTTTAATGAGGGAAATAAGTATTTGACCCCTCTGCAAAACATGACTTAGTACTTGGTGGCAAAACACTTGTTGGCAATCACAGAGGTCAGACGTTTCTTGTAGTTGGCCACCAGGTTTGCACACATCTCAGGAGGGATTTTGTCCCACTCCTCTTTGCAGATCTTCTCCAAGTCATTAAGGTTTCGAGCCTGACGTTTGGCAACTCGAACCTTCAGCTCCCTCCACAGATTTTCTATGGGATTAAGGTCTGGAGACTGACTAGGCCACTCCAGGACCTTAATGTGCTTCTTCTTGAGCCACTCCTTTGTTGCCTTGGCCGTGTGTTTTGGGTCATTGTCATGCTGGAATACCCATCCACGACCCATTTTCAATGCCCTGGCTGAGGGAAATCACCCAAGATTTGATGGTACATGGCCCTGTCCATCGTCCCTTTGATGCGGTGAAGTTGTCCTGTCCCCTTAGCAGAAAAACACCCCCAAAGCATAATGTTTCCACCTCTATGTTTGACGGTGGGGATGGTGTTCTTGGGGTCATAGGCAGCATTCCTCCTCCTCCAAACACGGCGAGTTGAGTTGATGCCAAAGAGCTACATTTTGGTCTCATCTGACCACAACACTTTAACCCAGTTCTCCTCTGAATCATTCAGATGTTCATTGGCAAACTTCAGAAGGGCCTGTATATGTGCTTTCTTGAGCAGGGGGACCTTGCGGGCGCTGCAGGATTTCAGTCCTTCACGGCGTAGTGTGTTACCAATCGTTTTCTTGGTGACTATGGTCCCAGCTGCCTTGAGATCATTGACAAGATCCTCCCGTGTAGTTCTGGGCTGATTCCTCACCGTTCTCATTATCATTGCAACGAGGTGAGATCTTGCATGGAGACCCAGGCCGAGGGAGATTGACAGTTCTTTTGTGTTTCTTCCATTTGCGAATAATCGCACCAACTGTTGTCACCTTCTCACCAAGCTGCTTGGCGATGGTCTTGTAGCCCATTCCAGCCTTGTGTAGGTCTACAATCTTGTCCCTGACATCCTTGGAGAGCTCTTTGGTCTTGGCCATGGTGGAGAGTTTGGAATCTGATTGATTGATTGCTTCTGTGGACAGGTGTCTTTTATACAGGTAACAAGCTGAGATTAGGAGCACTCCCTTTAAGAGTGTGCTCCTAATCTCAGCTCGTTACCTGTATAAAAGACACCTGGGAGCCAGAAATCTTTCTGATTGAGAGGGGGTCAAATACTTATTTCCCTCATTAAAATGCAAATCAATTTATAACATTTTTGACATGCGTTTTTCTGGATTTTTTTTTTGTTATTCTGTCTCTCACTGTTCAAATAAACCTACCATTAAAATTGTAGACTGATCATTTCTTTGTCAGTGGGCAAACGTACAAAATCAGCAGGGAATCAAATACTTTTTTCCCTCACTGTATATGTATTACTTTTTTTTATGTGGTGACCCCGACTTTGAATACTGTATGTATTACCAGTTAGTTTTGCTAAGTAAAATGCACTCAAGATTTATTGAGTCAAAGTATTAATTTACCGTGGGAAATTACAGACTTCTAGGTACTAGCAGTTAAGAATGTTGGGCCAGAAACCGAAAGGTCGCTGGTTCTAATCCCGAGCCGACTAGGTGAAAAAATAAGGTTGATGTGCCCTTGAGCAAGGCATTTAATCCTAACTGCTCCTGTAAGTCGCTCTCGATAAAAGTGTCTGCTAAATGACTAAAATGTCAACTCTCCCCCAAGACACTCAGAGGTAGCTGACATGAAAGCTTGAAAATATGCTGATCCAACAGCTCATTATAGGAAAATAAGAGAATGTGAAGAGGAGCTTCTTTGTCACTTACGTAACCTTACAGAGCCTATTAGAGCTCCTACCGTATGTCTCATAGTTATAAAGCATTTCCACACTGAGACCACAACTCAAAATAGTACTATTGTGAGAGCTGAGAGCGTATTGACGCATAGTTGAGTCACTGGGTGCTGTAGCTGCTATGGCATTTCTTTCTCAGATTAAGAAGATTTCAAGACCACTCATATCGTTGAGACTCCCTTCAACAGGGTCTAAAATTACTGTATGATGAAAGGCCAATGGGATGGTTATAATGGTCTCAAGGGTTTTAAGTGCAGTGTCCCAACATGTTATTTTCTCCAAACATTTTGGTCATTCAGAACTCTGAAATTCATCCAGAGGAACCAGGTTTTCTTCTTAATGCAACTTGTGCCAGGAATTCAGACAAAGTGTTACTGGAGTGTTTCTTCTAAAGTTGTGAAGATACTTTACAGCAGCGATTCTCAACTGGTGGGTCACGGGTGTCAGAGTAAAAAAAAGTCATAAAATAAAAATGTACATGAAAAAATACTCCAGTCTGAACTTAAGCGACTTAAATCAGGTAGAAAGTGTGTAAAAATGAAGTTACAGTTTTTTATAATTTAATAAAAATAAAAATACATCTTCAATCACAGTATTATTAATATAGAGCTGTTTGGTTGATTTTGTGGTCTCAAGCTAGTGAAGTTATTAACGAATATGGGCAAAATTGTATTATTGACAATGAAAGAGGTGGGAATGTTGTTCCCTTGTCATGTAATTGCTACATTTACTATCACTATAGCATAAAAAATAGTTGTCCAGATTGTATTTTGGCGATTATTTTTCGCAATGCGAATATTGTGTCGTGACTGAGACAACCTGGTTCAATTTGGGTTCTGAGGCAAAACCAATTGAGAACCACTGCTTTTCACCCAGACTGATGTATTCTATTCATCCAGCAGAAGCTACTTACAAGTACAATGCAATGTATTATGTGTAATATATTGAATGTCAGTTATATTCTACGCACTTGATTTTCAGGTCACAGATCTATTCAATTAAGACTACAGAACAGAGAGTATTATTTCACATTAGTTTGGTTTTGAGGTCTAGGTATCTCACCTACCAGTTAGTGTTCTATTTAATTAGCATATATAATTAAATATATCAATTTCCCCATACAGTGGGGAAAAAAGTATTTAGTCAGCCACCAATTGTGCAAGTTCTCCCACTTAAAAAGATGAGAGAGGCCTGTAATTTTCATCATAGGTACACGTCAACTATGACAGACAAAATGAGGAAAAAAAATCCAGAAAATCACATTGTAGGATTTTTAATGAATTGATTTGCAAATGATGGTGGAAAATAAGTATTGGTCAATAACAAAAGTTTCTCAATACTTTGTTGTATACCCTTTGTTGGCAATGACACAGGTGAAACGTTTTCTGTAAGTCTTCACAAGGTTTTCACACACTGTTGCTGGTATTTTGGCCCATTCCTCCATCCAGATCTCCTCTAGAGCAGTGATGTTTTGGGGCTGTCGCTGGGCAACACGGACTTTCAACTCCCTCCAAAGATTTTCTATGGGGTTGAGATCTGGAGACTGGCTAGGCCACTCCAGGACCTTGAAATGCTTCTTACGAAGCCACTCCTTCGTTGCCCGGGCGGTGTGTTTGGGATCATTGTCATGCTGAAAGACCCAGCCACGTTTCATCTTCAATGCCCTTGCTGATGGAAGGAGGTTTTCACTCAAAATCTCACGATACATGGCCCCATTAATTATTTCCTTTACACGGATCAGTCGTCCTGGTCCCTTTGCAGAAAAACAGCCCCAAAGCATGATGTTTCCACCCCCATGCTTCACAGTAGGTATGGTGTTCTTTGGATGCAACTCAGCATTCTTTGACCTCCAAACACGACGAGTTGAGTTTTTACCAAAAAGTTCTATTTTGATTTCATCTGACCATATGACATTCTCCCAATCTTCTTCTGGATCATCCAAATACACTCTAGCAAACTTCAGACGGGCCTGGACATGTACTGGCTTAAGCAGGGGGACACGTCTGGCACTGCAGGATTTGAGTCCCTGGCGGCGTAGTGTGTTACTGATGGTAGGCTTTGTTACTTTGGTCCCAGCTCTCTGCAGGTCACTAGGTCCCCCCGTGTGGTTCTGGGATTTTTGCTCACCGTTCTTGTGATCATTTTGACCCCACGGGGTGAGATCTTGCGTGGAGCCCCAGATCGAGGGAGATTATCAGTGGTCTTGTATGTCTTCCATTTCCTAATAATTGCTCCCACAGTTGATTTCTTCAAACCAAGCTGCTTACCTATTGCAGATTCAGTCTTCCCAGCCTGGTGCAGGTCTACAATTTTGTTTCTGGTGTCCTTTGACAGCTCTTTGGTCTTGGCCATAGTGGAGTTTGGAGTGTGACTGTTTGAGGTTGTGGACAGGTGTCTTTTATACTGATAACAAGTTCAAACAGGTGCCATTAATACAGGTAACGAGTGGAGGACAGAGGAGCCTCTTAAAGAAGAAGTTACAGGTCTGTGAGAGCCAGAAATCTTGCTTGTTTGTAGGTGACCAAATACTTATTTTCCACCATAATTTGCAAATAAATTCATAAAAAATCCTACAATGTGATTTTCTGGAGAAAAAAAAATCTCAATTTGTCTGTCATAGTTGACGTGTACCTATGATGAAAATTACAGGCCTCTCTCATCTTTCTAAGTGGGAGAACTTGCACAATTGGTGGCTGACTAAATACTTTTTTCCCCACTGTAGATTAAGTCGAAATGTTTTAAGAAATAATGATAAGCCCATCAAACTTAAACTAGAACTAAAACTGTTTTCTGAGCCCTATTTCTCTCTCCATAAGCACAATGATTCTCCTGACTTGACCAATAGCTACTCAGGGGAATTGATGAATGAGAACATGAAACACTTCATATCTCCTTTTGAATAAACAGCTGATGTGTTATGTAATTATTTAGAAAAAATAAATAAATGTGTTCCCAATATTTAGTCTGTTGCGTTGTTTTGCTCATGCAAATGCATTTCTCAGTAAACTGAGGTTCTGGGAACTGGCCCAAGGCGGGGGAACAGAGACATATTTTAATCTGACTGGGGGAACCATTGGGAGTTCATGCAGAAACACATCTCCGTCAATCACAGGGGCAAATCAAATGGAACATGCCTCATGAACACACACAGGGGAATTTACTATCTTTGGACACTATCTTTGAAATTGCTTTGTTTCACGAGATTGTCCACTAGCTAAAGAAGTATTTCTGAAATAGAGACTGAGGGAGCAGAAGAGTAACGGTAATATGGTTTTAGTGGTGGAGTTTGCAATCGTTTTTAACCTTAAACAATTGTTTCTAGTTTACCTGAGTACTGTAGCTAAAGTATTTTTTAAATTCTCCATAGGTTGTGACGGTGCTGAATGATCTTTACACTTGCTTTGATGCCATCATCGATAATTTTGATGTGTACAAGGTAAGTCAGAGGAATCATGTTTTGTAATGTAAATCTGGTTATTTTCAACCAGTGATATAATCACCTGTTTTATCTACTAACATTTTGTCATCTACAGTATCAGTCAAAAGTTTGGACACACCTACTCATTCAAGGGTTTTCTTTATTTTTAATATTTTCTACATTGTAGAATAATAGTGAAGACATCAAAACTATGAAATAACACATATGGAATCATGTAGTAACCAAAAAAGTGTTAAACAAATCAAAATATATTTTATTCAAATAGCCACTTGATGACAGCTTTGCACACTCTTGGCATTCTCTCAACCAGCTTCATGAGGTAGTCACCTGGAATGCATTTCAATGAACAGGTGTGCCTTATTAAAAGTTAATTTGTGGAATTTATTTCCGTCTTAATGCGTTTGAGCCAATCAGTTGTGTTGTGACAAGGTAGGGGGATATACAGAAGATAGCCCTATTTGGTAAAAGACCAAGTCCATATTATGGCAAGAAAACATTTCAAGAACTTTTAAAGTTTCTTCAAGTGCAGTCGCAAAAACCATCAAGCGCTATGATGAAACTGGCTTTCATGAGGACCACCACAGGAATGGAATACCCAGAGTTACCTCTGCTGCAGAGGATAAGTTAATTAGAGTTACCAGCCTCAGAAATTGCAGTCCAAATAAATGCTTCACAGAGTTCAAGTAACAGACACATCTCAACATCAACTGTTCAGAGGGGACTGTGTGAATCAGGCCTTCATGGTCGAATTGCTACAAAGGAAACCACTACTAAAGGACACCAATAAGAAGAAGAGACTTGCTTGGGCCAAGAAACACGAGCAATGGACATTAGACCAGTGGAAATGTGTTGTTTGGTCTGGAGTCCAAATTTGAGATTTTTGGTTCAAACCGCCGTGTCTTTGTGAAACGTGGTGTGGGTGAACGGATGATCTCCGCATGTGTAGTTCCCACCGTAAAGCATGGAGGAGGAGGTGTTATGGTGTGGGGGTGCTTTTCTGGTGACACTGTCTGTGATTTATTTATAATTCAAGGCACACTTAACCAGCATGGCTACCACAGCATTCTTCAGCGATACGCCATCCCATCTGGTTTGGGCTTAGTGGAACTATCATTTGTTTTTCAACAGGACAACGACCCAACACACCCCCAGGCTGTGTAAGGGCTATTTTACCAAGAAGGAGAGTGATGGAGTGCTGCATCAGATGACCTGGCCTCCACAATCCCCCGACCTCAACCCAATTGAGATGGTTTGGGATGAGTCGGACGGCTGAGTGAAGGAAAAGCAGCCAACAAGTGCTCAGCATATGTGGGAACTACTTCAAGACTGTTGGAAAAGCATTCCAGGTGAAGCTGGTTGAGAGAATGCCAAGAGTGTGCAAAGCTGTCATAAAGGCAAAGGGTGGCTATTTGAAGAATCTCAAATATGAAATAAATGTTGATTTGTTTAACACTTTTTTGGTTACTACATTATTCCATATGTGTTATTTCATAGTTTTGATGTCTTCACTATTATTCTACAATATAGAAAATAGTAAAAAAATAAAGAAAAACCCTTGAATGAGTAGGTGTGTCCAAACTTTTGACTGGTACTGTATATCTCAGGTGGAGACCATTGGTGATGCGTACATGGTGGTGTCAGGGCTTCCAGTAAGGAATGGAAAACTCCACGCAAGAGAAATCGCTGGGATGTCCTTAGCCTTACTAGAACAGGTGAAAACATTCAAGATTCGACACAGACCACAAGACCAGCTACGGCTAAGGATAGGCATCCACACAGGTATCATTTCACATTTCACATGGAGTTTGAAATGATTGTTAAAATGTCTTATGCTTAACTACTGTTTTTTTTTTTTTTTTTTTTTATCCAATTGAATGAATCCATGTCTTTGGGCACTGCCCAATCCTACTCCCAATCTTTGGCTTCCACATAGTTACCACCTAAAAAACTCAAATAAATCATACTAACTTCAATCTTTCAATACCTCCTAAATGTTACATGATCTGCCCTAGCCGTTGACAGTTTATTTCATTCTATGACAAATAAATTAACTATGACACACAATGATTTATTATATTGTAAATCAGGTATGGGCAACTTTGATGGGGGTGGGGGCTCATGGGTTTCAAGTTAATTTCCTGCAATTATACACGTTTTGCCATTGGGCGGAGAGAAGATTTTGCAATTTTCTAACTCATTTCATGCAATTCTACAAATTTTGCCATGGGGTGGAGAGAAACATTATCAGTTTTACAGCTAATTTCCTGCAATTCTACAGATTTTGCCATAGGGTGGAGGCAAATATAAAAAAATTTTGCTGACATGGGCTAATTAAGTGACTGCTGATGCACAACCAAAATTGCACATTGTGTATTCTATTATTCTAACTCTTAACAATAAGTTGAGACCCCTACTGAGTAAAACAACTCATCTGTGATTCAATTGCCCGCTTTTGTATCCTGCCCATTCCTGCTTCATGATTGCATGGGGCTTTTGCTCAGTCATTTTTATCAAGTGTTGTGAATGGTTATGACCGTTGACGACAATATGTAGGTTTCAGGACATAGCCCTCCTGTAGCTCAGTTGGTAGAGCATGGCGCTTGCAACGCCAGGGTTGTGGGTTCGATTCCCACGGGGGGCCAGTATGAAAAATGTATGCACTCACTAACTGTAAGTCGCTCTGGATAAAAGTGTCTGCTAAATGACTAAAAATGTAAAATGTAAAAATGCTGTGTTTCAGTTAAGAAATCTCTGGAGATTTCTCCTGTAGCGACAATGTTTGGCCAAGCTTTTAGTTTTTTTTAGTTCATAGTACTTGGACATAATCTCTTGCAGGCAGAATTTACAGTATATTCTTATTCAAACACTTGACATGAACATCACTGATAGGTCTTTAAACAGTCTGCGTGGGAGGTGCTCAATCCCATCATTCTGTGCATGCGTTGTTTGAGTTCAATCATATCTTTCATGCTTTTAAGTACACTTAACTTATCATGTGAGGTTCTAGTGATGAAAGAAATGCTACTTTATCTACATTATGGTTTTCCATGGAGTATATTTCCAGTATAATTCACTGCTTTTCTTCTGTACAGGACCTGTCTGTGCTGGGGTGGTGGGTCTGAAAATGCCCAGATATTGTTTATTTGGAGATACTGTCAACACAGCTTCTCGGATGGAATCGAATGGAGAGGGTGAGTGTCAGATTCGGATCTCTGTTTTTCTATTTTAGGGGATGTCAGCGCTGTTAAATAAATAAGTATTCTAACGAAATGCGCCTGCATGAAACAATGTCACATTCTAGAATTCAATTGGGAAAAAAATACATATTTTTCAGCTGACACACACTAAGACTACTAAGTACTCATTATTTGTTATTTGTGTGGTATTTGCTTGGATTTGGATTTTGTTGTTCGTCCACCGAGTATTCCCTGTTGTATTGGGCTTATGCAATGGTGTTGTGAAAGACTGGCCATTATTTGTCTTGACTAAATCTGACTAATGTCTTGTGTCTGAGAATCCATGACCATCCAATTTATAAAAATTGTGGACTTGCTCTTTGCACATACTTCCCTGTAAGAAACGTAAGCATCAAGGGATAGATAAAGTAGCCAGGGAATGGGATATTTATAGTCAAAAGCAACAGACAGGATGGAGGTTGTCATCGTAATTTAAGAGTGATTATCTGGACTGGCTTTACTGGCAGCTGTTCTTAACTGGTGTGGTGGTAGTGGGACCACTGGTGTTGTGCCAGCCAGGATGTTTTGTGAGTGACTCATCACATTATTGATTAACCCACTCACTTCCTGCTCATTTCCTGCTGTGTGCTTTCACGCCCATTGATAAATAGTTAATAACACTTATACCAATGTCACCATAGTGATAAACTGTATACCATAAAATATCCTATAGTGGTTGGAATCACCTCTGGGACTGCACTGTAAACAGTTATTTCTAGGGACTACAGCACCAGGAAGGATTTCACTGTTCATTTCTACTTTTGACCACCTAACATAGACAGATCATCCATTTGGTTAACGTACAGTATGTATGTGTATTGTAATTGTTATTGTCTACCCCAGTGCATATGGCAGAGGATAAATGCTTGTATGTATGCAACTCGGTGTCACTCCCTGCAAAGCACTCACTGTGATTGTCTCTTGTCCCATTTATGTGTTTCACAGCCTTGAGGATCCACCTCTCCTCAGCCACCAAAGAAGTGCTGGATGAGTTTGGCTATTTTGATCTCCAGTTAAGAGGGGATGTAGAAATGAAGGTGAGGACACAATGAGTAATGAATGTGTTGTTGTCAGCATTATCTGTAATGGCTTCATGTATTCAGTATTGTTGGATAAATGAATATGAAAGAATGGTCAAATGTGGTCTTGTGATTCCCATCCTGTTTATTCTATCTCTTTGTGGAAGAATGCATTGCATGTCAGTAGATTTGCAGCTCTGGGCCTCTCAGATTACGAGTGTCGTAAAAAAAAGATGGCCGTACTCTCCTGTCAAAATGAAAGAGAACCATCAAATCCGGTTATGTAGAGTAGTATACTCTCTAGGGATGTCAGATGAGTTTTAACAGGCCCTGCAAATGTCACCCTTTAAGGAAGAGCAACCCTTTTGTGTATCCATCACTCCCACTCGTCTCCATTGATGAGCCTATTGATTTCTGTGTTTTTCCAGGGCAAAGGCAAAATGAGAACCTATTGGCTTCAGGGGGAGAAGACTGATGTGTACGTTATCTGAGTGGCGCTGCTGATAGCGTGTACCCACATTGGAGCCAACCACAGAGGAGGCTACACAGTGGCACAGCCAGCCACTGCTTTATTTGTTTTAGAATAAGTCCTAAAGGTGATTCCCTCCCAAAGTACGAAAAGAAGGGATGTTTAATGGTATGTTTAATACCTGTGTACGGTAACTGCAAAAAGTTGTAAAGATGTTTTGTATGGATAATCTTTCTGTCCTGAGAGTGAGTACTTCTCGATGATGATCAATTCTTATTTTTTGTGCTTTCTATATAAAAATTTGTATAATGTGTTTGGAAGTCAATGATGTATTAATATGTCCATACGGCGTTCATAATGGATGGGGGCACAGTGTAATGATCAATGTCAATGCAGAGGTTAGTTCCACAGTGGTGTCATACAGTACAAGATGATATATGTATATATGTATATCCAAGATATTGTAAGATATTTTGTTCAATAAACTGAGTAAAATACAACAAATTATTGTTCAGACAATATTATTTATGTTTAACCTAGTGTGTTTTCATTGTCTTGTGTGGGTCTGTGCACACTGCATTGTTAATGTGCTTTTGCTGAAAATATTTTATGATTTAGTATGTCGGATTTGTGTCATGATTGACGGTATAAGGGGGACATTCCTTGGAAACAGCTAATTTTTTCTGGCCGTACATCAGAACTTTTATAACTGGGCCATATTCCCCTGATAATGCTTACCCAAATATTTTCTCCTAGATGTAACTCCGACTGAATTAAGTTTCCTTATGCCGTCCTCAAAAGATGTAAGAGAACTTGCTTTATTTATTGCTTGAATGATTTGTCTTTTTAAGAATTAAAGTGTATGTTATTCAGTTGAAGGGAAATCCAACCAATTGTATGCACACAGCATAACCTGTTGGGAATCTTGAATGGCCCATCTGTTGAAATTGCTATGGTACCTTAGAGAGCCTAAATTCTAATTATAGCGTACCACTTTAATAGGTTTATAAACCAACAGTGGCTATTGCATTTTACAAATAAATGACAGAAGGAATGTAAAGCTAATTAGCATTACATTTTTCTTCATTTAACCAAAGGTCCATGATACAATCATCCATAGCCTAGTATTTGCATTGTTTGCCAGTATCAGAAACCTTCAATTAAATGTTAGAACACCACCATATGCACCATTGAGAAAAATCTCTTGCCTTTTCACATTGCAACATTGTCAAAAACTGCACATGAAGCGCCTACAATTAACTGTTTGCATGTCAGAGATGCAGAGTGAGAAGAAGCTCATTGAAAGCAAAAGCAACAATGTATCAAGAATAGCAGCCATTATCAGGGGGTGCAGGATGCAGTTGTGTTAAGCTGCAATGACATCACCAGTCCATTATCAGCTGTGGCATGGCAGTGTGCATCATGTGTCTCTTCATCTCTGCAGGGCAACAGCTTCCCTACTGCCTGAGTCTTAATTACCACCCACCCACCCACTCCCCTCTGCTCTACTGCCACACTCAATGTGCCCGTTAGCAAGTCGCACAATGAAGTGAGGTGGTGGGTCCCTTAACACCTCTAATTGTTTAGCCACTCCAATTCACTTATCAACCAAGTAACAGTGTCTCATAAGTCTATCATCACTTATGTTTCCCTGTCAGGGAGTGTACAGTGTGCTACTCTGTACGTGTGTGCGTACAGATGTGTAAATTACTGTAAATTGACAATTGTTTTGTTATTTGCCATAGATTGATCACTGGATCTTCTACTGTAGAATTAATTAAGGATAAATGTTACTTATTATTGAGTCATCAAAGGCTCCTGGTTTTATGTTTTTGAAGCGAGGGAGAAGAATTTCACTAGCATTTTTTTATGCTGTTTGGGAGGACAGACAATTTAGAAGTGAGCTTTCGGCGGAATTTGCACTGAGGTATGTTCACAATTGGTCTCTGACAAAAGCACCACATCCATTTTAAGCAGAGCAGTATTCCTTCACAGGGAAATACAGTGATTTAAGACCTGTAATATATTATTTATAAACCTAAACAAATATACATTTATGGATAGATCAAGACAGACATTATTAATCTAATCAAGGGGAAAATTAGTAGTCACGTTTACTCAAGAATGGAATATTTACTACATCACATTTTATTTGAATTAGGAGGCAATATATTTCACTTGGCAGTAAGTAGCTAAATGGCATCTGTTTCAGACACCAATTGTTTCCCCCTCTAATCCCATGCGGCAATTAAATGTTTGGGGAAAAAGCTGCATAAATGTAGTCTAAAATTACTTGTTGCCATAGCTACCTCCTAATCTCTGCTGAAAGGGAGAGGAGAGTAACACCATGAAGAATTGTCCTCTGATTGACAGAACACGTATTTGAATCGAGCCATGCTCTCTGATGTAAGGAGGCTGCATGAACATCAATATGTCTGACATCTGTATGGTGGAGGCTTCTGTGTGCCTCTCTTCTTCCTAAAGGTGGAAAAACACTTTCCTCGTCTCAGAAAATGTATGGCTTTGTAATTTGTCCAAGGACAATAGCCAGATCAATTTTTGCCCAGCGCAGGAGAAAGAGGAAAATGTGGTTTTCTGTTGTTCAGCAGTGCTCAGTTTTGGAAATTAGGGGTTGCAAAATGAGACTGCATAAGTGGAGAAAAAAAACCTTGGAAAAAAGAACCTACAAGCAAAAATAACAGCATGAACAAACAGAGATACTTTTCTTGATACAAAGCCCTGGTATGAATAAAAAGATAACTACTGTAATTCAACAAGGAGATAATAACCCTGGGATATAGTTACAATCCAATACCTTTCATCTGTCTAGTTGTGTTAAATCATATGTGCAGTACTTACACAAATCATATGAACATGTTTAAGCATTATTAAGGCATTCAATGAAATGGTCATTTAGAATGTATTCTCACTAATGTTTTATTGGACTGTTTCTACATAATTGCTTGGCTATGCAACCACTGCAGTGGAGGAAATGCTTGATAAACAATAAAAGTTATACCATATGCGGTGCAGAGACTAGACATAATTTGTAAAAAATAAAGAGCGCAATAGTCTTATACAACATCATGGAAACATAATTTAATACCACTGTTCATAAGATGCATGACATGTCCAATGTTCATAACAGGTTAATTTTCAGGTGTGTACAGAATATGCTCATCATCCATGTGTTCACTGATAGGTGTGCTGAAGGTGGCATTCTTCTTGAATGGGGTATTTCTGGTACTCACCGCTGTCACACCCTGAGACATGGCAAAAACATGGTACAGGACCTACTGTAAGTTGTGTTTTCTTGCTTTTGTTTCTAAATAGCTTTCGTGTAGACCAGAGCCATGTATTTAGAGAGTTGGGCCAATGCGGTTTCTGCATTATGATGCATTTACATGACACTACAACATTCTATGGCAGCCTTGTTAGCTCGCCATTAACATTACAAGAATAATATTTAAACAATGCTATGTAATTGCATGTCTAGAATTAGAACAATATAAATAATTCAAAAAGTTGGCCTACCTCTCTAAATATATGGCCCTGGTGTAGACTGAGTCCTATCAGACTATACATTGAAACCCATGTATGCTATTTTTACAGTATTTTCTGCCTCGTTTCAAGGCTTAAATGAACTGAACTGGGTAAAAGTGGATGAGATGCAGCATCTCATTCAGAATTGGACAACACCCTGTACCAGCTGTGCTCTTTAAACTCTATTGGCAGAATCTAATAAGATGTCTTATTGAAGGGCTTCTTGAGACCAAATTCAAAACAGAGGCTTGTAAATAGTCATCAAATATGACACCAAAATGACAAACATATGCTAAATAATTTTCATTGGTTGATATCTTACATTTCAACAGCCATCAAACACTACAATTCAAGGGCCAAGTGTACAATAATATTGATATGGTTTTATTGCGATAATAAAAGACTGATTGTGCAGCAGAGATTAAATGCAGGGGTAAGTGGGTCACACAGAGTATGAACCTAAGAATACCTAAGAATAAGGCTATGGTCCTCTAACCTTGATATGGTAAATAAAAAGGTCCATTTGTACACAATTCCTGGAAGCTGAACATTTTCCAGTTCTTCCATGAGCATGTTTGGGATGCTCTGGATTGACGTGTACGACAGTGTGTTCCAGTTCCCGCCAATATCCAGCAACTACACACAGCCATTGAACAGGAGTGGGACAACATTCCACAGGCCACAATCAACAGCCTGATCAACTATGCAAAGGAGATGTGTCGCGCTGCATGAAGCAAATGTTGGTCACACCAGATACTGACTAGTTTTCTGATCCACGCCCCTACCTCTTTTTTTTAAGGTATCTGTGACCAACAGATGCATATCTGTATTCCCAGTCATGTGAAATATATTACGGGCCTAATTTATTTATTTAAATTGACTGATTTCCTTATATGAATTGTAGCTCAGTCAAATCTTTGAAATTGTTGCATGTTGCGTTTATATTTTTGTTCAGTATAAATGGAGGTGGAATGGAATAATTAGACCAACCTGTATGTGCTGATGATTCTCACTCCAAAAAGTAATTGCCTGATCGCTTTTGTAGTCATGCTCCTAATCACAGCAAACAAAGAATGCATTAGAAATTAAGTCTGTTGAAGTTTCAGTTGAATACTGAAATGTCAGTTTACAGTACATATACAAGAGACAGGAAATGTAGCTAGTCCCAAAACAATGTGTCTCACAAAGAGGAGTATTTTGTAATCATGTTAATAGAAAATAATTGATCTAGTAAGTAGACCTTTAGAGGTGAAGGGAGGGAAGGCTGAAAGCCTTCGACTTTGTAGTCCTCTTTGGTGGTGGAGCAGAACTCTGTTTTGGGAGGCTCTGGGTTGAATTCTGCATGTGTCTGCTCACTGTGAGATAGAGGAGGATGACCATATTAGCATGAGAACCTACAGCAATATTCTTATCAATCTCTGGTGCTCTGACATTGTTTTTCCACATTTTCAATTATCGCGCATAATACATTCATTACCATGTGCATTACATTGTTCTACTGTTCCAGTTATTCTACATTATTCATAAAGGTTGTCGTGTAAACTCCCTGTCCTATCTCTTCATAATTAGTGTCCACAGATCCAGATGTAATTCTCAAATTGAGCAGATTCTGTTGATACAGTACATTCGGAAAGACTCCATCCCTTTTTCCACATTTTGTTACCTTACAGCCTTATTCTAAAATTGATTAAATAAAAAAAATCCTTGTCAATCTACACACAATACCCGATAATGACAAAGTGAAAAACTTTTTTTTTTTTTTTTTGCAAATGTATACAAAATTAAAATCAGAAATACCTTATTTACATAAGTATTCAGACCCTTTGCTATGAGACTCGAAATTGAGCTCAGCTGCATCCTGTTTCCATTGATCATCCTTGAGATGTTTCTACAACTTGATTGAAGCCCACCTGTGGTGAATTCAATTGATTGGACATGATTTGGAAAGGCACACACCTGTCTATATAAGGTCCCACAGTTGACAGTGCATGTCAGAGCAAAAACCAAGCCAAAGGAATTGTCTGTAGCGCTCCGAGACAGGATAGTGTCGAGGCACAGATCTGGGGAAGGGTACCAAAAAATGTCTGCAGCATTGAAGGTCCCCAAGAACACAGTGGCCTCCATCATTCTTAAATGGAAGAAGTTTGGAACCACCAAGACTCTTCTTAGAGCTGGCCACCCGGCCAAACTGAGCAATCGGGGGAGTAGAGCCTTGGTCAGGGAGGTGACCAAGAACCTGATGGTCACTCTGACAGAGCTCCAGAGTTCCTCTGTGGAGATGGGAGAACCTTCCAGAAGGACAACCATCTCTGCAGCACTCCACCAATCAGGCCTTTATGGTAGAGTGGCCAGACGGAAGCCACTCCTCAGTAAAAGGCACATGACAGCCCGCTTGGAGTTTGCCAAAAGGCACGTAAAGGACTCTCAGACCATGAGCAACAATATTCTCTGGTCTGATGAAACCAAGATTTAACTCTTCGGCCTGAATGCCAAGCGTCAGGTCTGGAGGAAACCTGGCAACATCCCTACGGTGAAGCATGGTGGTGGCAGCATTATGCTGTGGGGATGTTTTTCAACAGCAGGAACTGGGAGACTAGTCAGGATTGAGGGACAGATGAACGGAGCAAAGTATCCTTGATGAAAACCTGCTCCAGGACCTCAGACTGGGGCAAAGGTTCACCTTCCAACAGGACAACGACCCTAAGCACGCAGCCAAGACAACGCAGGAGTTGCTTCGGGACAAGTCTCTGAATGTCCTTGAGTGGCCTAGCCAGAGCCCGGACTTGAACCCGATTGAACATCTCTGGAGAGACCTGAAAATAGCTGTGCAGCAATGCTCCCCATCCAACCTGACAGAGCTTGAGATGATCTGCAGAGAAGAATGGGAGAAACTCCCCAAATACAGGTGTGCAAAATGTAACAAAATGTGGAAAAGGTCAAGGGGTCTGAATACTTTCTGAATGCACTGTATGTTGACATTTACTTATACTTTTTCCCTACGGAGGTCGATCGACAAGGAAAACAACAGTACCATACTCTCCAAATATGACTAATGCTACTTATTCAAATGTATCTTCTTTTTGTCATAACAAACTAGTTAGTCTTGTTGGGGTTTTTCACATTTAACTTTGAGCATTCAGTAAAAGTCTAGTTCAGTGACCGTGTGGTTTTGTACGGCACAGGTCAGCGGCTATGAAAACTGTCTCCCCCAGTTTTAATCATGTCTTACCTCCCTTTGACTTTTTCTAAAACACTTGTTGGGGATGTTAACCAAATTGTTGGGGATATATTCTATTAACCACATTACAATTCAAATAAACGTTAAATCAGATCATAAAGTCTAATCAAAAAGCACAAAGTTTTCATAGAACTGTAAAACTAACCAAGACTTGTAAATTACATCACTTTCCTCCTACCAGTTCTGCTCAAGACATGGATTGAACAGTGTCGTTTCACGTCTCGAGCAAGTCACATCCTAAAAAAAATATTTCAATGTGTTACATTATGATAACTGTTATGAAATTAAACTTTTATAAATTAGGCCTACCTTATTTTCTTGATTAGATATTTTTCCAAAAGTTCTCCCCTGAGGCCTGAACAAATAAAACATGGAAACCCATTTAAGATGTGAAAACATCACAGTTAAGAAGATGAGTAACACACATACTCAAAGACTTGGCCTCTATTGGTTGACATAACTATAGTTAGGCTACTCATGAGGATGTAATGCTTGTTTGTTTTTTGCTTTTGAAGCGCTTTGAGATTCTTATGAAAAGCGCTATAGAAATGTAATAAATTATTATTATTATTATTATTATTATTATTATTATTATTATTATTATTATACGGAACTCTAAAAGGTTTGAGTGAATTTGAATCAAGCCAGCCAGTGAGACATCACTAATGTATGCTTTTCAACAGCTTGCACAATATTAAAAGTCACAGAATGTTTGAACACTGAATCTCAAACTCATTCCAGGAAGAAATATATTCAAGGTTAGGCTGGATGAAGATGTTTCTTGACATAAACTGTTCAATGTTTTTATACTGTACGTACCCCTTTGTCTCACCCCATGACCCCTGGGATGGGTGAAAGCAGCATTCACTGTGGTGACACCTTGAACTTTGGATGACAGATCCATAGTGAGAATCCCCTTATGTCCATTTTTGTGGATGTGCGGTCTGGGCCTCTCGTTGTCAAGGACTGCAGTGGCCCGCTGAATGAATGTAATTCCACAGATTAATCAAAACTGTGCCTTGTGTGACAACATTTGTTGCATTCAATGATTTGTAATTAGCTAGAGGTGTGACTTGTACTAATGACCTATTAATGATGGCACACATTCATAGCTAACTCTGCGAAAACAGGAGGGAGAACATGCAAGCCCTCATACCTGTACTTAGAGGTAGGCCAACCTCTAACATCTCTCTCTCTCTCCCACACACACACACACAGAGAGAGAACTACCAGCGGCAACCTTTGCCAACTAGCTAACTATCTACCTAGCTAACGTTAGCTAAGCTAACTCACCTCCTCTACCCAGTTATCCAGCAAACATTTTCCAATCGATTTTTGTTCAACAGAAGCATCCAAATCAGTCATTATATTTGCATTACTAGTTAGCAGTGTAAAATGTATAATTTATCTTGTGAAAACAAGATAATTGAGCTAGCTAGCTTGCTTGCTGGCTAAATGTACCACTACTATTTACGATTCTGTTGTCGGAAGTGTAACCATAGCAACTGTAAACAAACGACATCCTGACATCATTCCAAGCAAAGAAGTTACATTGTTGCAGCCACAGAATTAAGAATTAGAATACATAATATGTAATTTAATAGGATATCGATGGTTGCAGCCATAGAAATAGAATGAATAGAACGGGCATCCCCATTCAAGTCAATGATGGCATAATGGGCGGTTCTGACTAGGTGGAATACAGCTACCACCGGAAGTGAATTTTTCCTCGCAGGTTTGGAGATCTTACGCAGCAGGTTAGTATAATTAACGTAGCAGGTTAGGAAAATGAGGTTACGGTTAGGAAAAGGGTTAGCTAAAATGTTCTCCTAACCTGCTACGAAAAGTCACATCCGGTCGTAGCTGTTCACCCTCTAGTCACAATCATAATGGGTGGACGGGCGGCCATTGTGAGTGTACTCATGCAGAAGTGAATATGACTGGAAGTGAATGTTGGCAGTAATAAGTTTGCCATCATTAACACAATCATAGTGAATTTCAGCTAACTACTCAGCAAGCACATATTTTAATTGTTTTACTGTCATTCTATTCATTTCAACGTTTTTCAAATGATCTACAGCCACTTTATTACTTGATTTCCCGACCACTGGTCACGTTTTCAATGCTAATCCTGTAGAATCAGCAACGCTGGTCCAATGAATGCGTTTATTTTCTAACACCGCCGCATAGAATGATGTTGTCTTAACCTGTATTTTTTCGACCTAGTACCAAAGCAGGAAGTAAAAGCAGGAAATAACAGACGGAAGTGTACCCATCAATAATGATGTGCTGTGATTTGTTGTTTCAACTCAACTGACATTACAAAAAATACATTCCATTGCATGAGCCATATCATTCTACATTACCATGGAAATTATTGCATCACACCAGGCAGCCATTGTGAGTGTACCCATGAGTTTACCAGTCAAATTGCCAGGGTTAGAGGTTCCAACTTCCAAGTCCGTTCTATTCATTCTATTTCTATGGTTGCAGCTGTTTGACGGTTTTTTGTTACACTAGCGAACTTTACAACCAGAGTGAAGAAGACCATGATCACAGAACTAGAATGAGATTTTATTTATATGACCATGTTTGAGCTGTAAAAATATTGAACAATAGTTAAAAGGGGCAATCTGCAAAAGAAAGCTACCAGCCACCTCTGTTTGGGTAAAAAGCTGAGGGATGGGGCTGGAGAAATGTAGGCTAAAACCACTCTCAAATTCATAGACAGAGCTATGGATGCAAGGACTGACCATCCATGATATCAGAATTACAGTTGAAATCGGAAGTTTACATACACCTTAGCCAAATACATTTAAACTCAGTTTTTCACAATTCCTGACATTTAATCCTAATCAAAATTCCCTGTTTTAGGTCAGTTAGGATCACCACTTTATTTTAAGAATGTGAAATGTCAGAATAATAGTAGAGAGAATGATTTATTTCAGCTTTTATTTCTTTCATCGCATTCCCAATGGGTCAGAAGATTACATACACATATACATAATATTTCTTCCTCATGATGCCATCTATTTTGTGAAGTGCACCAGTCCCTCCTGAGCAAAGCACCCCCACAGCATGATGCTACCACCCCTGTGCTTCACGGTTGGGATGGTGTTCTTCAGCTTGCAAGCGTTCCCCCTTTTTCCTCCAAATATAACGATGGTCATTATGGCCAAACAGTTCTATTTTTGTTTCATCAGACCAGAGGACATTTCTCCAAAAAGTACGACCTTTTTCCCCATGTGCAGTTGCAAACTGTGGTCTAGCTTTTTTATGGCGGTTTTGGAGCAGTGGCTTCTTCCTTGCTGAGCGGCCTTTCAGGTTATGTCAATATAGGACTTGTTTTACTGTGGATATAGATAATTTTGTACCTGTTTCCTCCAGCATCTTCACAAGGTCCTTTGCTGTTGTTCTGGGATTGATTTGCACTTTTCGCACCAAAGTACGTTCATCTCTAGGAGACAGAACGCATCTCCTTCCTGAGCGGTCCCATGGTGTTTATACTTGCGTACTATTGTTTGTACAGATGAACGTGGTACCTTCAGGCGTTTGGAAATTGCTCCCAAGGATGAACCAGACTTGTGGAGAGCTACAATTTTTTTCTGAGGTCTTGGCTGATTTATTTTGATTTTCCCATGATGTCAAGCAAAGAGGCACTGAGTTTGAAGGTTGGCCTTGAAATACATCCACAGGTACACCTCCAATTGACTAAAATGATGTCAATTAGCCTATCAGAAGCTTCTAAAGCCATGACATAATTTTCTGGAATTTTCCAAGCTGTTTAAAGGCACAGTCAACTTAGTGTATGTAAACTTCTGACCCACTGGAATTGTGATACAGTGAATTATAAGTGAAATAATCTGTCTGTAAACAATTGTTGGAAAAATTACTTGTGTCATGCACAAAGTAGATGTCCTAACCGACTTGCCAAAACTACAGTGTATGTAAACTTACGACTTCAACTGTAGGATCTTAATTTGACTTATATTATCTCAGCAAAATAATCTTGCAGCAACAGGATTTGAACGTTTAGTCCATAATGTTGCTTGATTGGTGGTTAGGCTATTAGCTGGCCAAAAGTAGGCTACATGAAAAGTGCAATACTGTTAATATAATTGTGTTAGTGTGGGTTTTCAGTGAATTTATGTAAATCACAAAGCTCATCTGAGTTGCAGGAAAATTCTCAGCAACAAAAGAGTAGTCAAAATAAGATCCTACATCTGTATTATTAATTTATAAGTCCAGAAATTGATGTATGAACGGCAGATTTCCCCTTTGAGTTGTAGTTAGTTAGAAACATGATTCACGAACACAAAAGGAAATTATATTTAGGCTAATTCGTTTTAGCAGTTTGGAAAATGGTAAATAAAACTTCAATAATGTTGCACAAGAGTCCATTCATCATGGGGTATCACATTTTCCTTTGATTAAATCCTTGGTGTAAAGTTGTAATATAATTCGGCATATATGTCGCTATATTTTATGAAGCAAACATTCACATCACTCAATGTGCATTTGTGTCGACAGACTTATTTCATATCCTATTTTCAGTATTTACACTGAGCAGCTACATACCATATAGTCAACACATGCTCTAAAAAGGGTGGATGGAGTTGTCCTCAGATGTGCCCGTTGGTTGTGCACAAAGCAGTCAGTCACGGCACGTTTTCTCCCGAGACCCTTGGGATGCTGAGAGGGATGGGAGGGTAAACACTGATTCCTAACAGCTGTCCAGAGAATGGAGTAAAGTTTATATGTTGTTTCCTGTCTATTCACTTGACAGCCATTTCATCCAAAAATGTCAACACATTCTGCTCTTGAAGAAACCACGTCTCTGGCAGAAAAATGATCAAATCAAATCAAATGTTATTTGTAATATGCACTGAATACAACAGCTGTAGACCTTACAGTGAAATGCTTACTTACAAGCTCTTCCTTAACGATGCAGAGTTAAATAAAGATACAAATAAAAACACTTGAGAAATAAAACACAATAATTAGGCTACCACTACCATTTCAATGTACAGGGGATACGTGGTAGTTGAGGTAGTTGAGGCAATAATAGTAGTGGTAGTTCAGGCAGATATAGATAGTTGTATCTTAGAAGTTAGTGTGTGTGTGTGTGTTTGCATGCGTGCATGTGTGTGTGTGGGCTGTGTGTGTATGTGTGTGTGTGCGTTTGCGTCCATGAATGTGTTTGTGTCTGATGCAGACAATGTAATTGTTTATAATACAGACCAAGGTGTCTCTTGTCAGAGGAAATACCAATGAAAAGGATATGCAGGGGATGGAAGGTATGGCATGAAATGAATGTGAAATGCATTGTTTTGGTTCCAGCTAGTATACTGTCTCCTGGAGAAGAAACGGTCCACTGAGGGACAATTACAATGAATAAAGAAGATGCTATTGTGATTGGAGAAACAACAGGGAAGTTAGGAACCAATATACACAAGCAGTCAGGAAAGCAAAGGCTAACTTTTTCAAACAGAAATTTGCATCCTGTAGCACTAACTCCAAAAAGTTTTGGGACACTGTAAAGTCCATGGAGAATAAGAGCACTTCCTCCCAGCTGCCCACTGCACTGAGGCTAGGAAACACTATCACCACCGATAAATCTACAATAATCGAGAATTTCAACAAGCATTTTGCTACAGCTGGCCATGCTTTCCATCTGGCTACCACTAACCCGGCCACCAACTCTGCACCCTCTGCTGCAACTTGCCCATGCCCCCCCCCGCTTCTCCTTCACACAAATTCAGACAGCTGATGTTTTGAAAGCGCTGCAAAATCTGGACCCCTACAAATCAGCTGGGCTAGACAATCTGGACCCTTTCTTTCTAAAACTAGCCGCCGAAATTGTCGCTACCCCTATTACTAGTCTGTTCAACCTCTCTTTCATAACGTCTGAGATCCCCAGAGATTGGAAAGCTGCCGCGGTCATCCCCCTCTTCAAAGGGGGTGACACTCTAGATCCAAACTGCTACAGACCTATATCCATCCTGCCCTGCCTTTCGAAAGTATTTGAAAGCCAAGTTAACAAACAGATCACCGACCATTTCGAATACCACCGTACCTTCTCCGCTATGCAATCCGGTTTCCGAGCTGGTCACGGGTGCACTTCAGCCACGCTCAAGGTCATAAACGATATTATAACCGCGATTGATAATAGACAGTACTGTGCAGCCGTCTTCATCGACCTGGCCAAGGCTTTCGACTCTGTCAACCACCGCATTCTTATTGGCAGACTAAATAGCCTTGGTTTCTCAAATGACTGCCTCGCCTGGTTCACCAACTACTTCTCAGATAGAGTTCAGTGTGTCAAATCGGAGGGCCTGTTGTCTGGACCTATGGCAGTCTCTATGGGGGTGCCACAGGGTTCAATTCTTGGGCCGACACTTTTCTCTGTGTATATCAATGATGTCGCTCTTGCTGCTGGTGACTCTCAGATCCACCTCTACGCAGACGACACCATTTTGTATACATCTGGCCCTTCATTGGACACTGTGTTAACAAACCTCCAAAC